AGACAGGGTTTCTCTGTGTAGCTTTGCGCCTTTGGAGACCAGGCTGGCCTCGAACTCACAGAGATCCGCCTGGCTCTGCCTCCCGAGTGCTGGGATTAAAGGCGTGCGCCACCACCGCCCGGCTCCGTTAGACTTTTTAACTGCAAGTATGGGAGTGTTAAAAGGTGAAGAGGTTAGGCGGAGCAGCTTTTTCCTGAGGTCAGAAATGATAGGCTTAAGTCCTCAGGCTCTGGAGTGAAAGAGGATACTGAGCTTGGGTGATATACCTGGCAGGATCTTGTAGCTGGATAATAACAGGCTGATGGTGTCTAGCAATAGAATGGTTCTGGGTATCCCAGACTTTTGGGTCTACCTGAGAGGCTGGCAAGGGAAAAGAATTGTTAGAGTCAGTAGAGTGAGTGGCTAGGAGGAGAAGTAAAGGAGCTGCTGGAGCATCTGGGATGGAGCGAATGTGTGGAGCGAAAGAAATGGACTCTCCTACCTTAGCTAGAAGATCCCTCCCCATTAAAGGTACAGGGCAGCTTGGCACCACTAAGAATGTGTGTGTAAGAGGGATGCCTCTGAATATGGAATTGAGTGGTGGTGTCTGATGAGGTAGATAAGGCTGTTCCCCAACCCCGACAATAGGGAGATGAGCAGGAGAGGTGGGCCCCCAAAACTCTCTCAGGACAGAGTAGTTAGCTCCGGTGTCCAAAAGGAACGAGATGGGGTGCCCATTGACCTTTATAATTACCCTAGGTTCCCTGTGTGAGATGGGAGTGGCTGGGGCGGAAACTGGGCAGTGTCAGTCCTTGCTGTAAGCCAAGCCTACAAAGTCAGCTGGAGAGTGGTCTTCGTCTGGCGTTCCTATGTCACTTGGGACATTAGGACAGTCAGCTGACCAGTGACCCTTTTGGTAACACTTTGGACAAGGCCTTGTCGGTGCCCTTCGTGGACCGGTGGTGCAAGCCCGGGCCCAATGGCCTTCTCTCCCACACTTGAAGCAGGGACCAGACGGCTTTCGGGGAGCCGGTCGGGCAGTGCTTGCCAGCATCTGGCAGCTCCTCTTATGGGCTTTTTCATCTCTCCCATGGTACACCTTAAATGCTATCGCCAGCACATCTGCCTGTGGAGTTAGAGGGCCGTTCTCCAAACATTTAAGTTTATCCCTAATGTCAGGGAAGCTCTGTGAGACAAACTGGGTTATTAGCAGCTGCCTGCCCTCAGGGCTCTCCGGGTCTAAGCTAGTGAACTGAAGCAGAGCCTTGGTGAGCTGCTCTAAGAAATGAGATGGATTTTCGTCCTTATCTTGAATTACCATTTTTAGTTTTTCATAGTTTACTGGTTTTAGGGCAGCCTTATGGAGACCTGTCAGGAGACAGGTAATAAACCTATCTCTGGCTAGACAGCCACACTGGGTGTTATAATCCCAGTGTGGCTCTCGGTCAGGAACCGCCTCAGCTCCTGGAGGGTGTGAAAGGTTAGTTTGATGAATTTCATCTGCATGAGTCCTAGCCTGTTCCTAAACCCGCCTGCGCTCCTCAGGAAGTAAATTATTAGAAAGTATCATGAATATATCATGAAAGGTGAGACTATAAGATTGAGTTATATATTGAAACTGTTTAATAAAGGCAGCAGAATTAGAAGTATAAGAACCCAGCTTACTTTCTATCTGAGAGAGTTCTGCTAGAGAGAATGGAACATGAACTTTAATCAGTCCATCCACACCAGCTACCTCTCGCAAAGGGAGAACAGTGGAAGGGTTTGGATGGCTGGAATCAGGCAGTTTAGCAGTCCGAGAGCGGGTGGTAAGAGGAGTGAAGTTTGGAGCTAGGACAGGGCCTTTGAAAATGGCCGCTGCCGAGGAAGGAACAGCTTTAGAAGAAGAATCCGGAAGGGGAGCGGAAGGAACGGTTGTTCTAGGAGTTGGAGCTGGAGGTCGAATAGGTGGAGGTTTGTTAGCAGGGTCTAAAGTTAGAGATTCCAGAGTCAGAGAATCCTCCGGTTTAGGCATAGCTAAGAGCATATGAGCAGGAGAGAAGGAATCCAGAAGAGATGGTTTAGCACTGAGAAAGAAAAATGCTATCACATAGGGCAACTCTTTCCATTTGCCTGAACTCTGACAGAAATTAGATAAATCCCGTAAAATATCGGGATCTAAGGAGCCACTCGGCGGCCATTTTTGTTGTTTTCTAAAGCATTCTTGGGCCATTTTTTAGAACATAGATGAGTTAGCTTAGGAATCTTTATGTAAGGCATTAAACTGAGAGGTTTTAAAGCTTCAACAAGACAGCCTAACGGAGAGGAAGGACTAACAGGGTTGGAAGCCTTGTTTCCCATGTCTGCAGCGGAGAGGCAGAAAAATAAAAAAGATAAAAAAACCAAACGTGATCCGGAGCCAAGGCCCCAGGCGTCCCCAAGGCCAAGGACGGATACCAGGCACAAGCCGCTCCTTGGCTCATCAGCCACAGAAGCGGAGGGCCCCTGCCACGTGAGGAAAGGATTCCCCAGGAATCCGGACAGTGTCTGCCGCTTCGCTTCGTCAAGTCGGATGAACGTGTCGGCCCCACATGGCCCCCAGGACGCACCCAACGGCGGTGGTCCCAGCGCGAGAAATATCTCAGGCTGCAGACGTGGGAGAGGGCTAAAAATCTGAGGCCTGCAATAGGGGCCAACCGTAGCCAATGAAGACCGTGGCCGGGGATTCCCCGTCAAGAATACTTGTGAGGCACCGGTTGTTCTCACAGATTCAGGAAACCGTTTACACTGGCCGAAAAATGGGGGGACTCACCAATCGGAGAAAGCAGTGCTGCATGGAAGTTTTGTGGTCAGGCGAATGGAGAGCAGTCTGTCACATACGGAGCAGAGTTTCACAGTCCTGGGTTTCGGCACCAAATGTTAGTTTTTCAACTGTGCTGTGTTCTTACCCTGCGCGGAAATGTCACAAAACACGACAGAATCCGCTAATAAGAGTTTTATTAAAGATAAAGGGACAGAGAGTGAACAGGCCTGCGGGAAACACGTGTGTGGAGAAGAAGGAAGAAGAAGAAGAAGGAACCGGGAACATGGCGCCGGATTTTAAAGGCTGGGCGTGGACAGATCAACGTCACTACTACACGCAAGCACGTAGATCACATGGCCACGTTGCGCGCCTACGTAGCCAGTGGAATGTCACGGATCTTGGTCACATGAGATGCCCTGACACAGAAATGGCTATCCCGACCTGGAACTGGCTAGGCGGAAGTGTCCGTCGGGCATATGCGAACACGCCCGACCGTGGGGGCTTGTTGTAAACCTTTCAGTTGGTACTTATAGAAAGTAAATAGTGGGAAGGATGGCTCTCAGTCAGCACAATAAAGTACTTGCTTCTTAAGAAGCATGTGAACCTAAGTTTGGATCACCCATGTAAAAAAATGTCTGTTGGGGAAGGGGACTAGCAAAGACAGACAGAACCCTGGCACTTAGTGACTGTCCAGCCTAGCCAAACTGAACTCTAGGTTCAGTGTTTCTAAAATGAAAGTAAGCAGTTGAGGGAGACACTTACCATTGATCTTTGACCTCCAAATGCATTCTTACTGACACACACATACACACATCTACATGAACATTCACGTGAGTGTTTTGGACTTGTCAAAGGATCTTACCGTTCTTTTTTTCTTGTGCTTGATGAGGCATTTTATACAGCACATAAAAGCTACTGCCATTTTAAATATTAAACAGGATGCTGAGTAGACTTATTCCTGTTGGCCTAGTAGCTCCGCTAAATTCCAAAAGTAGAGAGCACTGAGCACTCCAGATGCAAAGGATGCTGGGAGGAAGTGTCTTTGTAGCCCAGAACCCGCACCGCCACCGTGAACTCCTAAGTCATGCTACACAGTTGGCTCTGTTGACGTCCAGTGCAGAAGTGCCGTGCCCAGTTCCTCTTGGTGACACTGTGGAGGAGAACACTTCACCATCAGTGCTCAAGGCTTTCCTGCCCTCCCTTTTTCTGGATTTTTTCAAGACACGGTCTCTACATATAGCCCTGGCTGTCCTGGAACTCAGGCTGGCCTTGAATTTAGAGATCTGCCTGCCTTTGTCTACCAAGTGCTGGGATTCAAGGCATGTGCCAGCAAGCAGGCTGTGAAGGCTTCCTCAAGGCCAGCACCCATCATGTGCTCTGCCCCACCCCTAGTCTTGTTAATGTATTTTGTTTGGTGGTTGAAGCTGTGGAAGTTAGACTAACTGGTATTTCTTGGCAAGCCATGGCAAGCCGTACACACTAATTTGCTGAATGCTACTTGTGGAGCATTCTCGTTGGAATCATCCAGAGATGATGCCCAAGTTGTGCTTTAAACCACATAGATAGAAAAAAACAGACAAATAGCAAAACATCATCAATCAGCATCTATCGGGAATGAGTAGTGAAGCTCTGCAGAACCTGTCATGGTGGCCTTTCCAGTTGAAAGTCCAGGAAGAACATCTTCATGTATGACATTTGGCTTCTCATCCTCACCTACGTTTTTTTATATCATAGGATAAACACAGTGACTCTGTTGGTAAAGGTTTGCTTTGTTTGTAAGGATGGGATGGTTTTAATACCCTTAGGCATTTACTTTTCTCCTTTCTCCCTGTCACTGGGGTTAGGGGTCAGCCTGTCCCAGGAGAGGGTCTCAGGGGACACTTGATAAAACATGCTTAACTTTGAGAGCTTGCTATCAGAGTCAGCTAAACAGAAAAGGACAGTTCACCAATATATTTTTTAATACATAAGGTAAGCAGAGTATTAGTGCATATTAATTGCTGTCTTGAAAGGTACATTTTACTGCTAGATCATAAGCAGGTTTTACTCAGTGAAAGAATAAAGTGTCACTGGACCAAGAGCTACTAAACACCCCCATCCTCTGGAGGCTCGAATTTCAGTTCCTCCAGCAGAGCTGCTCAGTAAGTCCTTGCTGGAGGCTTGTGTTAGTAATTCAGCTATCTCCATTAAGAGTGAGTGTGCTTCTTACAGATAATGTTTCTCATTGGTTCTCCCACAGCTCAAGCAAGACATGGCTGCCCAGTGTGTCACGAAGGTGGAACTAAATGTTTCCTGTGACAACCTTTTGGATAAAGATGTAACATCAAAGTCGGACCCTTTATGTGTGCTGTTTTTGAGCACGAGTGGTCAACAGTGGTATGAGGTAATATTATATGATTTCGGGGAAAAGCAGTAAATTCCTTTTTACAATAAGAGTTTATTTTAAAATGTTAAAAGTAATACTGTAGGACTGAAGAGATAGCTTAGAGATCAAGAACCCTGGCTGATCTTCTAGATGACCTGGAATCTATTCCTACACCCACATGGTAGCTTAGTTACCTGTAACTCCCATTCCTGGGGATCTGACACCCCCTTCTGGCCTTTGCAGGCACTGTACCCATGTGTTGCACAGTTGTCCATGCAGGGAGACACCCACCCACGTCAACAAACAGTAGCAGCACTGCACCATCTCATCTGTTCGTGCATTTTTTCTACAAATTTGCCCTTGATAGCACAATTCCTCATGTTCATAGAGAAAATTTCAAAATATAAATGATAAATAGGCCAGTGATATGGCTCAATGGCAAGACGGCTAAACCAGACAGTTTGTGTTTGAGCCCCAGAAGCCACATGGTAGGAGAGAACTGACTCTTCTCAGTCGTCCTCCGACCTCACACATGTCATAAGACCTGTATGCCCCGACACATGCACAAACTTTAAGAAGAGAAATTTCCTTTTATCTTCATGCTTATGTATAACTATAATTAGTATATAAAGATGCTAAAAATCTAAGTACTTCTTGGATCTGAAAAAATTTTTCTTGTGTTTTTTTGGGGTGAGTATAGGTTGAACGGACAGAAAGGATTAAGAATTCTTTGAGTCCCAAATTTTCTAAGACATTTATTATTGATTACTACTTTGAAGTGGTTCAGAAATTGAAATTTGGAATTTTTGACATCGACAACAAAACTATCGAGCTGAGTGATGATGACTTCTTAGGAGAATGTGAAGTCACTCTTGGACAAGTAAGTGTTTAGTTTTTGTAACCTTTAATTTTGTGTGGATGTTTGTTTTATTTATTCATTTATTTATTTTTGAGATAAAAATCTCACTACATAGCAGAGGTTGGCCTCATACTTGCTATGTAACCTAGTTTGGACTTAAACCTATGGTAACCCTCCAGCCTCTGCCTCCAGAGTGTTGTGATTACAGGTGTGTGCCATCACACCCAGCTTTTTTATATAGATTTTAAACCAAAGAGTTGAGTGCTTTTGATAAACATTGTGGGTTTTTTTTGTTTTTTTTTTTTTTTGGTTTTTCGAGACAGGGTTCCTCTGTGTAGCTTCGCGCCTTTCCTGGAACTCACTTGGTAGCCCAGGCTGGCCTCGAACTCACAGAGATCCGCCTGGCTCTGCCTCCCGAGTGCTGGGATTAAAGGCGTGCGCCACCACCGCCCGGCAAACATTGTGTCTTAATCAGTGTTCTATTGCTGTGGGGAGACTCCATGATCACAACAACTCTTACGAAGGAAAGCATTTCATTGGGACTGGCTTACAGTTCAGAGGTTTAGTCCATTATCATCATGATAAGAAGCATGGCAGCATGCAGGAGGACATGGTGCTGGAGAGGTAGCTGAGAGTTCTACATCAGGATCCACAGGCAACAGGGAGAGAGACTGGGCCTGACTTGAGCATTTGAAACCCCAAAGCTCACCCCCAGTGACACACTTCTTCCAACAAGAGCATACCTGTTTCAACAAGGCCATCCTCCTAATCCCTGTCAAGTAGTGCTACTCCCCAATGTCCGACTATTCAAATATATGAGCCTGTGGAGGGCCATTCTTATTTAATCCACCACAGGTTGTTAGTGTACTTTTTAAAGTTGGTAAGTCTGTAATAGACCTTTTGGATATTAGTTGCATTAGGTTTGTGTACCTTCCAGGCTGACTCCAGTGAGACTCTAGGGCAGTGGTTCTCAACCTTTCTAATGCTGCAACCCTTCAATACAGTTCCTCAAGTTGTGGTGACCTCCCACCATAAAATTACTTGGTTGCTACTTCATAACTGTAATTTCGTTACTGCTCTTTCCCCTGCTCTCTCCTTCCCACGTTGTTAAGTGTGTCATTTAACTCTCTCTTCCCCATAAACCTCTGACCCCGTAGACTCCTTAGCATCCTTTTCTGAGCTGGCACTGTTTGTGTGTCATTTTATTCTTTAGGTGCCTTATTTTTCTGTCATCTTAGTATATGATGAGCATGTTCAGGTTAGGTAGGGGTTTGTCCTTTTGCTCCTAACTCTGATTTGCTTAGAAAGGTCATGATCATTTGTATAAATTGAGAAAAACACAGGGAAATTAGAGTCATTTTTCAGTGAGTTAAAGTTGTTCTTCAGAGCAGCTTTTCTGGGTTTATTTTCCAGGTTTGAATCACTTGGCAGTCCCACTAGTTCTCATGTCTCAAGGGCAGTGTGGAACTGATCAGTTGTGTTGGCCATGAATAGTAGTTTAGAAAATAATTAGAAGCATTTTTATCAACTGCAGAATAAAAAAAACAATGTAGCCAAAATTCTAATGAATTTGAGAGACAATTTCAAAGAGCCAGACATACTATATCATTTTAAGCAATGTGAGCTTTTCTGGAAGCTACATATCAAAGTTCTGTGCCAGTTGGGAGATTGAATCACACTTATTGAGTATTCTGAGGCCCACCTTTACCTTCAGGGGGTTTTTAGCCCAGCGCTTTGTGTAAGAGATTAAAATCTGGACTTTTTCCCCCTTCTTAGTGAACAACCTAATGGGTAGGGCAATAATAGCTGCCAGAGTGAAGTTCTTTGAAATCTTTTCAAATGGGTTTTAAATGTGGAGATGCGTTTTAAATGTCTTTAAGGGGTGTGGTTTTAATGTCACTCTTTCTAATGACTTTCAATGAACTTTATATTCAACTTCTTTTTTTTTTTAAGTATGCAGTTCAGCAGCTCACATGATGAAACATTACTTTCTGCTTTTGACAGATTGTTTCCAGTAAGAAGTTAACTCGACCACTGGTGCTCAGAAATGGCAGACCTGCAGGGAAAGGGAGTATTACGGTAAAGATAATATAAACTTTTGCTTCAAGAGATAGTCTGTTAAGTCTAATAAGATGGGATGTAACAAGCAAATAATCTATAGCCATTCCTGATCCGTTGATCTTGAACATTGCATTCCATTCACTCTGACCTAATAGTCATCAGAAATGGAAGCTGTCTTGCTAACAGAAGAGAAAAAATGAATTGTAGGAATTCCTTCTTTCAGTTTTTTTAAGTTGTCCATCAAGGTCAGGTGCAACACTTCCATGAATGTGTCTATTCATACATTAGAGAGGAAAGGCTTAGTAAACTGAATAAATCAGTTGGGCTCTCTGCAAAGGAAACATGGTGCTCTTACCATGACACAAACTTCCCAAGATGGATTTTATTCTAAATGGATATTATAAGGTGGCCATTGAACTTATAAACTCTTAGCTAGGCATGGTGGTACATTTCTGTTATCCTAATAGTCAGAAGCCTGATGCAGTAGAATCCCTCAAAATTCAAGGTCATCCTGGTCTCTGTATTGAGTTCCTGATTAGCCAGAGCTAAATAGTGAGGCTCTGTCTTAAAAATATAAAACAAATAATGACAAAACCAAACAAAAAGCTCTAGAAATGCTTTCCTGTGGCTTCCTGTCATTGCTTCTGTTACATGTCCTCATATCTAGGTTTTGCATTGCTCATTACTAACTCTGACCAAGTGCATGTATATGCTTTACTGTATTTTAGATTTCCAGTTATCGGATAATAAGCTTTTGAATACCTTAACTTGTAGTGTTTCCATCTGCAATGATAGTGTTCTAACTAGTTTTCTGTGACATGGAAGCCTGGTAATTATAATTGTCACACACATTTTTCTCAGCAGCTCTTTGTCTATCTTAGATTTCCAGAGGCAAAAGAATATTTAGACTATTGGGAGGGTTGACTTTTGTGCTACAGAGAAATTTGTCAATCGTTAAGACACTGGCTTCACTTCAGATCATATAAGTCTTTTGCCTTTTACTAAGGATTTCCACCAAGAGGAGCAGATTTGAGCCTTAACCCTTCCTTTTTTCTGTTTTTGAATCTTTGCTATAAAGGGGAGGCTAAAAGCAAAGATAGTTGATAGCCTGGGATTCGACTTAGGGTAGAGTGAGTCTTCCAGTTACACTGACTGAAAAGCGCTGGGCTCATATTCCAGTTTACAGTTCTCTACATAGGATTTATTTATTCTTCCCTCTCAATGTGCAGAATTTTAGCTGGTTTTGTATAAAGGATATCCTTTGGTCTTCTGGTACTTTGATTTTTCTATGGAGTAGGAATATTTAGAGAACCACTCTTTTTCCTGGTCATTATTTTTACTCTTGAACATTCTTGACCATATCCACAGTGAAAGTATGTTTACAAATACATTGTGTAATAAGATCTGCATACCTCACCCCTGCTTTGCACACCTGAAACAGCTTACTAAGGAACCACATTTAAAAAGAGACTTTTATCAGTTGGTAAGATGGTTGCCTGACGTGTGCTGCGATCTGGATTCCATCCCCTGTACTGCAAGTAAAATAAAAAGAAAGTACTTAATTCATAAGTACTTTATTTTTTTTCACTTACCTTATCTACTTGTAGATTTCAGCAGAAGAAATCAAGGATAACAGAGTGGTCTTGTTTGAAATGGAAGCCAGAAAACTGGATAATAAGGTAAGTAGGTTTGAGGTATTTTACAAGCATAGTACCAGTTTTTTTCCATGAACTGTTGTTCATCTGAGCACAGCATCCTCCTTTCTCTCTCCCCCTCCCTTCTTCCCTCGCTTCCCTCCTTTCTTCTTCCCCCCCCCCCCCCAGGTCTACTTAAATAGCGCCTAGTTCCCTTCAGCTTTTTCATGAAGGTGCAATTAAAGATTAAAGTATATAAGCATTAATGTTACAGTAAAGTTCCAGAAAGTATTTTAATAACCTTTGGGGGGGAGGGAAGCAAAATGCCTGTGGCTTATTAATTATAAATCAGTTAATCCTTTTGCATTTCAGTATTGAATACACAACAGTTTACAGTGTTCTTCACCATTTTTGTTTATCTTAGAACTTAATTTGAAAGTATCTTAAGACTAGTTTCCAGGGGCTTTAAAAATTAACATATAACATTAATAGAATAGCATTTTTCAAAATACCATATTGCCATGTTGTGGTGATGTACACCTTTAATCCCTGCATTCGGGAGGCAGAGGCAGGCAGATCTTTGTGAGTTTGAGGCCAGCTTGGTCTACAGAGCGAGTTCCAGGACAGCCAGGGCTACACAGAGAAACCGTGTCTCGAAAAAACAAAACAAACAGAACAAAATCCAACAAATACCATGTTCTCTTACCCACCTTTAACAATTGTGATTCATGGTGAATTTTGTTTGTTTTTATCCACTTTTCCTCTTCTCAGGCACTGTGCCATCTTGAGCACAAATATATTGATACGTTTCTAAAGACCCTTTAAAGTATGATTATTTAAAATACCTAAAGATAATTTTTGATCTGTAAATTCTTTGTTATATCTTTCTTTTCTTGCCATCTATCCCTCACTCCTCCTTCCTTCACCACCCCACGTCCACTCATCCATTCACCTATCTATCAATACAGTTAGAAAAAGATTCTTTTGTCCTGTAGAAGTTTGTACATTCAGCATATGGCTAACCAAATCCCTGTGGCATCATTTCTCATGCTTTATTCTCTGTTTCCTGATTTCAGTAAGCTTATCTGATAGTATTTTGAATTGTTGGCAAGACAATTTCATCAGTTATTTTTGGTGATTTTAATGACTATTGATGATAGCTGCCTGCATATGTTGTCTTACAGGTCTGTGAAACAGTGATATTCTTACTCTACTAGACCTTCATTTCTATAGAGAGACATTTCCCCAAACTAAATCAATCAATCTCTCAATATCTCTCTCTCTCTCTCTCTCTCTCTCTCTCTCTCTCTCTCTCTCTCTCTCTCTCTCTCTCTGTCTGTCTCCTCTTGGGGTGTGTTATTAGACTTATCTATTTCATGTATGTGTCTTTTGACTATGTGTATGTGTGTTTGCCATGTGTGTGCATGAAGTCTGTGGTGGTTAGAAGAGATGTTCAGATCCCCAGGAACTGGAGTTATAGATGGTTGTAAGTCACTTTGTGGGTGCTGGAAACTGAACCTGGGAACTCTGCAAGAATAACAAGTACTCTTAAGTGCTAAACCATCTATCTAGCCCCAATATTTATCTGTTGATTATTTATCATTGAAGTATGTTCTATACAGGAAAGACAAAACATTTAATACCCTTTGTAAACATCTTTTTTTTTTCCTGAATAAGTAGGTTCCCTAGCATCCTCCAGATGTGACTACTAAGTATTTTTTGTTGTTTAATTTTATTCTTTAGATAACTATAAACTTATGGATTTAAACATTAATAACTGCTAACTACAACAAGTGAATTATGGTTGATATTCAAGTTATCCCAGTCTCAGCCTCAGGTTTGAGACCTTTTGGTACAAACAGGAATCTATAGATAGTCTCCTTGTTCTATTTCTGTCATATGACATGATGTTCCAAGTTAATTTTATGTCATTTCTGCCCCAGACTGGCCCATCAAAAAGAGCCTGGTCTCACCTTCATGGTTGTGTATCTGGGGCTGCACTGGCGTAGAGGTGCTTCCCATTTGCTGCTGCTGTCACTCGTCGTTTGGTTCTAGGCCCTTGTAGTACACACATCCCGAGAAAAGACCTTTTTTAAAGATTAATTTTATGTGTATATGTGAGTTTATGTGCCTGTGCACATGTGGTTGGGTGCACAGAAGCATTGGATCCCTCAGATCTCGAGTTACAGGTGTCTGTGAGGTGCCTGACTTGCTATGTGTATGCTGGGATCCTAACTCTGGTCCATGGCTGCACAGCAAGTGTCTTAACTGCTGAGTCATCTTTGCCTCCAGCTCCCCCCACTGGTTTTTAAATACTTTTCTTCCTATTTTTTTTCTTCTTTTAACCTCAAACTCATGACAGTCTTCCTGCCTCTGCCTCCCAAGTGCTGAGATTATAGGTCTGAGCAAACATTGGGAGTATGCTTGCCTAGTCTGTGTGTGGCTCTAGTTCAGTCTTCGTCACCACACACACAGGAGAGAAGATCATTGCACTATAATTTAGCCAGCTGTGGTGGCAATACTTGTAGACTTGGCATTCAGGAAACAGGTAGGAATATTGCAAGTTTGAGGCCCCTGGGGTACATAGTGAACACCTGTCTCTAAAGAAACAAGTCCTGTGGCTTTAAACCTAAATCTATAAAACAAAATATATCCAAGAGATTTAGTTTCTCTTTCTTTCTGTTCTTGCTATTTTTCTGTAAGTAATATTTTTAAATGTTTATATTTGTGACTTTAATTTCATGAGAACCTAAGATTTTACATAGGTGTATGTGCACATATACACATAGACATTCACATACTTATACATATGTGTAGCTAGAGTTTTCCTGCCTGGCCCACAGTCAGGACAAATCTCTGACACCCCCCAGTCCCACAGCCATTAGACCCGACCAAGTAAACACAGAGACTTATATTAGTTACAAACTGTATGGCCGTGGCAGGCTTCTTGCTAACTGTTCTTACAGCTTAAATTAATCCATTTCCATTAATCTATACCTTGCCACATGGCTTGTGGCTTACCCGCATCTTTACATGCGGCTTGTCATCATGGCAGCTGGCAGTGTCTCTCTGACTCAACTTCCTGTTCTCTCAATTCTCCTCTCTGTTAGTCCCGCCTATACTTCCTGCCTGGCCACTGACCAATCAGTCATTTATTCATTGACCAATCAACAACACATTTGACATACACACCATCCCACAGCACATATGTGTACATACTTATGCACATACGTGTTCACACATACATGTACATGTTTGTACATATTCTCTCTATATTTACATAATTGTATTTGGGTTTGTATTTATAGTATCCACTCCCAGCCCTTAAGTAAATCTAGTTCAGTAGATACATACTGTTTACTGCTCTAGTTGGCAGCGTGAACCTGAGAGAGTGAGGCCTAAAAATGAAGCGGACTAAATGCAATAACCAAGTTTATTCAGAGCATCAGACAATTTATACTCTGAGGGTTAAAAAAAAAACATGTAAGTAAGGTGTTGAATCACAAGGATAAGCCACCCATGGCACAAACATGTTTTTCCATAGAGGCATATGAATAACAACAGCTGAAATCAGCTCACTCCTATCTGCTACACTTGGGAGGGGCACAAAAATCACATTTCAAGAACAATTCCGTGTTTTTGAAGAAACTAAGGTCACAAGACTCTTGCTTTCTTGGAGCTTTTTCACAGGCACTCAGAATTCCCCTCGCACACTCCATTCTTGCACTGTGTTCGACACATGCTTCTTTCATTCTGTTTGTTTTTACTTTAGCATCCTACAAGTCAGTCAAGAACCTTTACCTCCTCCGTTACTATTAATATGGACAGGTTAATGAACTTTTAAACAAGGACTGCTTTTTGACCTTCAAAATGCTAATAAGCATGCTTTGCCTTTCCCATGGAATCATTTTCAGATAAGTCACAAAGCATGTAATGTGTATGTGTGTGTGTAAGTTAACTTACCTGTTAAGACTCTTATCAGCTGTAGAAAATGGGAGCACAAAAAGTTTCTTTAATTCACTTTTAAGATTCTTAGAGATAATTCTCTATAGTTGTTTTAATTTTCACTGTACCAAGTATGTTGTTTGACATTAAATTTGCTCAAGAGAAATAGTCCTATCATAGGTCTTTAAAGAAAAATATTTTGTTTACATTTCATGTGCATGCATATGTGAGTATGCATCTTGTTTCTGCCTGGTGTGCACAGATGCAGAATAGAGAGCTGGGTCCCTTGGAACAAGAGTTATCCGTGGTTTGAGCTGCCTGATGTGGGTGCTAGGGACCGAGTCAGGCACATCTAACAGAGCTGCAGGTGCTCTTAACCACTGAGCAATCTCGCCAGCCCTAACTTGCATAAATCTTCATTATAGTGACCAATCTACATGTATTATTTGAGTTATTAAAAGTGTCATCTACTTTCAGAAACACTAAGTAATATGAACTTAGTAATAAGTATGTTTCAAAATGATGATAAGCAAAATGATCACCATATGGCTGAATTTAATCTTGTGGAGTAGTTTGTACTTATGCCATCGTTTTATCTACATGTGATAAAGACAAGGAATAAGCACTTTTGAGACTCACTGCGCCTAAACCTTGTATAGGAATGCTGTGGTGAGGTATAGAGGGTATAGGGGATACAGCTTGTATTTTCGATTTCTATTATATACTGTGTACTTCTGATCCTTTGTGTGAAGAAAAAATATGTTTAGAATTGGTGAAAGGGAGTCAGATATGGAAGGAAGAGATACAAAGTTAAAGCCCAAATTTATCAGTTAATAAGGTATGTGGCCTTGGGAAAGTTATTAAAGCCTTTCCGTCTCCCTTTCCATGGCTAACAGCCCTGTCTGTCATAGAGTTAATAAGGCTAATGTTCGGGATATCATTTGTGTATTTAATATTATATGAATGGAAACTTAAAATGCTGACATTAAGCCAGCACACGTTTTATCAATGCATTTTAAAGTACTGTGTGTTTGATACACAGGATTACTCATCGCAAATGTCTTAATATTCCCCCCTAGTATACTTCTCCACATTTCTAAGTTAGTGTTAGAGGTGATGGGATTGATACTTGCAACCGGTATATCTATGGACTTGGACCTGTGTGGTTATGTAAACATACATATGTATATGCATATGTGTGTGTGTGTATCATGTATAAGGTGTGTTCACACAGGGTTTCATAAGAAAGTGAAAGCTGGTTTTTTTAATGTAGGATTTGTTTGGAAAGTCAGATCCATACTTGGAGTTTCACAAGCAGACATCAGATGGCCACTGGCTGATGGTTCACCGAACAGAGGTAAGTACTTGAATCTAAAAGGAGAATCACCATTTTGTTTGGCATTATAATAGGAATTAACCACTATATATCACATATATATCATATTGTTGTTTTTGGAACATAACATATGTCTTTCCACATAACCTTGCCTGTCCTGGAAGTTACTGTGTACACCACGTTGGCCTCGAACTCACAGAAAATAGTCATTTTAATTCAGGTTTGTATGCAGCCAGAGACATATCAATATGCTTATTTGCTTACCCTTTTCTCTTAAAAAAAAGACATACTACATGCTTAATTATTTTCATTTTGAAAAACTTTAAATTGTGTAAAGAATACTAAATGTGTTCTTGCTTATTTCCCCCCCCTCACACACACACATACACACACACACACACACGCACACACACACACTTATGCAGACAATTTATTTTTCTTTTGGAAAACCATCCTGATATAAACTACAAGCATCTAGATTCCCTTTCAATGTTACATCAGGCACTTTCAGGAGTGGGGATACACACTTTTAATCTCAGTTCTCTGGAGGCAGACAGATCTCTATGAACCAGCTTTATCTATAAATTAAGTTCCAGGCCAGCCAGACCCACATAGTGAGACCATCTCTCAAAAGAATAAGGACATGCTATTTATCACCATACCTAAGGAAATTACCATTGATTTACTAATGCCTTTCTGAGTGCCATCCATGCTCAGATTTCCTCAGAATAGAGCATATTTTTTATAGATTGTGTTTTGTCTAGGTTCAAGGGAAGGCTCATGTTTTGTATTTTGCTATTAAGCTCCCACTTTTCCACTTACACGCTTATTTTTACCTGCCTATACTTTCATGTCATAGAACAGCTTGAATTATTGAGAGTAGGATGGATTCTTTATCACTGTAAACTCACAAACTGCCATCATAAATTAATATTTGTACTGCTTAAATCCGGATTTGATGAGGGGGTGCATCTTCAAATGGATCCTGGGTTTTTTTCAGCATTGATAGAATATGGTTTTTGTTGTTGTTCTTGCTGTTCTGTTTCAGAGTTAGAAGGGGCCAGTTCTTACCATATAAAATAGATGTCAAGATCTGAGTGCTAGATGTGTTAATTCATATGAGGATATCATAGCTTTCATTCTTTTTCAATGGTCATAATAAGAAAGATACTGTATATCTATGTAATATTGAAACTTAAAAATTCACAACTTAGATTTTATTTTCCAATTTATGTTCAACACAGCAAGATTTATATTTTTAATTTTTTAAATGTATATGGGTGTTTTACTTGCATGTGTGCATGCGGTAACCATTGAGGTCAGAAGAGGATATTGGATGCCTTAGAACAGAAGTTACAGATGGTTGTGAGCCACCATGTGGGTGCTGGGAATCAAACCTGGGTCCTCTGGAAGAGCAGTCAGTGCTCATAACTGCTGAACTATTTTCCCCAGCACCCACAAGGTTCATTCTTCTCCTGCTCGGTTTTTTAATCCTCTGGGACCATGGTGAAATGCCTGGTTTAAAAAAACCCACATGCTACCATTTCTAAGTATACATTATTATTAGGTAGATATAGTTCCCAAACACCTTTCTTCTTTACTCAGAATGTACTACAATTGGACAATTTATTATACTTGCCACATAATAATCATAAAATATTATCTTACTAATTTTTCTTGGAATTAATTGAGTGATACAATGAGGGATAAGTGGTAAGAATGTAGCAAGAACCCAGGAAAGGCAAGAGAAAGATAGTGATGCACTGCGTGTTCTAATAGATCCTTTATTCTTTACAGGTCATAAAAAACAACCTGAATCCTGTGTGGAAGCCTTTTAAAATCTCTCTTAACTCTCTGTGCTATGGAGATATGGACAAAACCATTAAGGTAATTTGAAATTACTACTCAGATACTCTGTAGTTTGCTATGGGATTATGTCCTGATAAACTCATCATTAATTGAAATCTTCATAAGTTACGCTAGAGGTGTAGTTTGGTTAGAGCATTACTTAGTGATCTTGAGGGCCTGTGTTTATTTGAGGGGAGAGACAGGGAGAAAGGAAAGGGAAGAAAAGGGAGTAGAGGAGGGAAGAAATGATGTTAAAAATGCATTTAATATACCTAACTTACCAAATTACAGCAACCCTGTAACAACCCAAATTACAGTACACTGTTAAGTGTTGGTATTTACCATGGTGATACTGTGGCTGATTGGCAGGTTTGGCTTGCTGCCACTGCCCAGCATTACAAGAGAATTACAAGGAAGATTAAAATTCAAAACGCATGCAGTGTCTACTAAATGGTGTCACCTTTACAACATTATAAAGTCAGAACCTCAAGGCACACTGTAACAACTCAGACACTGTATACAACTCCTACAGATGAATACATTTTACCTACTTTCTAAAATTAATATGTAAGATAAGATTTTTTTAAGAAATAAATGACATTACAGGCATACGTATGTGAGTGTGTTGTTGTTATCTAATATATTGACTTAATGCTTAAGGGTACAGCACAATTTTCATTTTAACCTGTTTTAAAAAATAAGACATTCAGTTTAAATATGTCTTCTTTTTAATGAGATGCTTTTTCTCAGCAAATATGAAGCATTGACTACATTCTTTGCCTGTAGTGTATCCTTTGAAAATAAAAGCAGGTGTTAGTTATTCTGAGATCTCAGAGCCTTCCTGTCCTTATGCAGAAAAACAGTGGAGGTATTGTAGGGTCAAGGAAAAGCAGATCACAGTTATTTTAAATGTTTTTATTTGTAGGTATTTACCAACAAAACAAAACCCCAAACAACCAGCCAGTTGAACACACACAAACTTAAAACACCAACATGTCCTCCTTTTTAATAGGTGAGTTCTGTCTGAGGACCAAATTCAGGTCCTCCTGACTGAGCTGTCTGGCTTACCACAAGTCCTTATAGAAAACTTTCTTCCCTTTACACCTCAACAGATGAAGGTGTTGTTGGTGTTTCTTCTTGTAATTAATACAGTAAAAACGGGAAAGATGATAGGAAACAGCATAACGTGACATAACAGCATGGAGTCAGACCATAGCTTACATTTTGATTTAGCTCTTTAACCAGGTAAAGGATGTTGAACAAGTCACCTAATCTCCTTGCTAATAAGGTGGATAGTAATATCTACCATACAAGAGGGTAAAGATAGAATATTGAAAGTGAAAACATTGTAACAGATAAAACAGCAGCAGAGATGCAGCTATTATTAAAAGCTACTAAAATTTCTGAGCTTCAGAAGGAGTTGTCCCTAGTTTATAGAGAATTTAAAAAGTTATTGTTATGTGTGATTTGTATGGTGTGTCAAAGAGCAGTGAAAATATAGTTATGGTATAAATATATAAATATACTATGAATTGTATAAATATTATCAAAGTAGCTACAAATTCTAATTTTAAGACAAACCTAGAGAGGGCAGAAGTCTATGCCTTGACTATTTGACTGTTTCTGACAAATTAACAATAAAACCATGTTTCTAAAACATTTTTTGCTCACAGTGGCATGCTTGCAGGGCCAATTTGTTATAGTAAGTAAACTGATTTTCTTGGCTTTGTCTGATAAATGTCTTCCATTCTTAAAGTCTCTTAGTTTGTTTTTATTACACACACTTGGTTTTCTACATCATCACTCACTTTAGTTCTTTAGTTCTGTATTTCTTTGCAATATCAAATAGTCCCACATCTGCAGTTTACTTACTCTTTGGAAATTACTTAAAGGTATGGTAAAGAATTACAGAGCAGAGAATAAAGTCAGAGTCATCTGTGGATCCATCACTGTGCTGTCATCCTAGCATGTATATTATTATTATTTTTAAAAGATGAAGAGAGTAAGAGAAATAATCATGCATGCTGCCACCTTGCCTAAAGTAAGGATGCATTGTGTGGTGTGTACAGTTTTTTACATATATACATATGCTCTTATGTATATATGCATACATTTAAATTTCAAAAGCTCTTCAGATACTGCTGCTTAAATAGTAAATAGTACTGGTGTTTAAATTCTATACATACTCCTGGAAGCATTGAAAATGTTATGTCTGACTTTGAAAGGACAAGAGGGGGCTTTTCCATTTATTTCCTGTAGTGAGTAATCAGAACTTAGAGGGTAAAGATGTATTTTCTGTTTCTTAAAGCTTTAATTGGTCTAAACTTTTTTAACGTTTTAGCCCTTACTAAGGCCTAACTAAATCTTAGCCATTTTAATGTTTTATTTGGCTTACATGTAAATTGATGTTCTTTCCATGGAATCTAAAATGTAAAGTTTTGTTTTGCCATAATTTAAGAATGTCTGCTAAAAGTGATCTCATTCAGTCATTAAGATGGTTTGTTTTCTGCCTTCTTGAAACTTTGCTTCCTTTAAGAAAAAAACCAATTTTTTATTTTTTTCCTCTTGACAACATTAGTCATATAAAAGCTGTTGGTTTAAAATTGGGTATTGAATATGTAGGGCAGGAGTCAAACTGTCAGACTTGGTCATGGGCAAAAATATCTATAAGGCATTTCCTTAAACAAGGCACTTTGCAATTCTAGAGTGTACCTGTTTTGATTGGTTGATTGATTGATTGATTTTAAGTGTTTCTGAAGGATAATGAAAATACAAGTAATGAATGAAAGCCTTCCAGTGTACTGGCTAATTTTATGTCAATTTGACACAGACTAGAATCACTTTGGAGGAGGGAATCTTACTTGAGAAAATGTCCCCACCAGACAGACCTGTGGCCAAGGCTGTGGTGCATTTTCTCAATTGATGAATGATGTGGTAAGCTCAGCTTATTGTGGATGGTGCTGCCCCTGGGCAGGTGGTCCTGAGTTCCATAAGAAAACAGGCTGAGAGAGCCAGGGGGAGCAATCCAGTAGGGAGTACTCCTCCATGGCTTCTGCATCAGCTCCTGCCTCCAGGTTCCTACCTTATTTGAGTTCCTGTCCTAACTTCTTTTGATGATCAACAGTGATGTGGAAGTGAAAGTGAAATAAACCCTTCCTTCCCCACATTGATTGGTCCTGGTATTTAATCACAGCAATAGAAACCCTAAGACATCCAGTTGTGAAAAGCAATCGGTATGTAGAACTGAGAAGAAAACCATCATTCACCAGATGAGCATGTAAGATTCCTAAACATTGTACCTTGGTGGGTCACTACAACTTCATGAAGGCTGGAAGCTTTGTGGAGCTCTCTCCAAGGCAGATGCAATTAATTCTTGTTAGAAACTTCTGCTTTGAAGCACAGTCTTCAGAAGTGTCTTTGGTGTGCGATTTTACTTTGTCCCTATTGCTTACCACACAAGATGCATCTGTTGGCTTTGCACTTAATTCCTTCAAGTTCCATTTCTGAAAAATGGGAATAATAGTAACAGCATCTCCATTCTATGTAACTCTTAGGTCTATCTAGAGAATATGTACTGTGTACACATTTAAATATCCATGTAAATGAATTGATGTGTTGAAATTACATGTTAGAAGTTCACATCCCTGTCATCAATTTTCAGCTTGCCCTGAATATAGCTTGCCTTGAACACAGCACCTTATTTTCTCATTAGAAAGTGTTTAGTTGTTTTTGCTCTTTTGTGGGCGCCTGCCACCCAGCTCCTAAATAAATCACACATGGAGGCCTTTTTCTTAATTATAAATGCCCGGCCTTAGCTTGGCTTATTTCTTGCCAGCTTTTCTTAACTTTAAATTAGCCCATCTAACATTTGCCTCTGTGCTTTTTCCTTTTCTTACTTCTGTATATCTTACTTTCACTCTTACTCCACAGCTAGCTGTGTAGCTGGGTGGCTGGCCCCTGATGTCCTCCTCCTTTATCCCTCTTGTTCTTCTTTTCCTCCTGGATTTCTTGTATTTAGTCTCTCTGCCTGCCAGTCCCGCCTGTTCTTTCTTCTACCTCACTATTGGCCATTCAGCTCTTTATTAGAGCATCAGGTGTTTTAGACAGGCACAGTAACACAGCTTCACAGAGTTAAACAAATGCAACAAAAAAGAATGCAACACATCTTTGCAAATGTTCCACAGCATAAACAAATGTAACACATATTAAAATAATAATCTACAATAGGAAAGTTCTAGCATTCTGGTGAATATAATACTTTTTCTTCCATCTGCCAGTTAACACACACACACATACAAAACAAACTAACAAAAACCCTACTAAGAGCAAATAAATATTTTCTTTTTCTTTTTCTTTCTTTTTTTTTTCTGAGATGGGCAGGGAGAGAAGGAGAGAAGGGTGCATGGAAGGAGAAGTAATGTGCGTTTAATAAGATTCAGATCTAAGGCTAGAACTCTAGAACTCTACATTTCTTCCTTCTTACATGGGAACAGAGTAAGTGTGACCTAGTGTAGATACTTAAGTGAACTGACTGTTCTCGCCCTAGAGTTTTCCTTTGTGTTGTAAGATTTCCAATCTTCAGACCAAATCTGACTCTCATGTCTAACTTGTAATTACAAGCCCAGATTCCTTGGGTTGCAGCTGATCAGAAATGTTTCTTGGAACTCTAAATTATCTAGGACTTAGTTGTGTCATTTCTAGCGGCTGGATACTTGCTTCTACCTCCTATACAGTGGTAATTAAGTAAAGCAAATGAAAGAGTAGACTTAATCACACTTAGTCTTCTGTCGGCATCTACAGCGAGCATGGTAGAGGAGCTGGGAACTGCTTCCTGTGTGAAATGCAGGCCAGATTTGGGTTTTCATCTTTTGTGGTCTAGGTCCTGTTCTCTGGATAGTTCCGGTTTAAACATACTTCAGCATCATTTCTCTAGATAGTTAGTTCCTGTTCCTCCAATTAGACACTAATATTAAGGGTTTTTCCCTTATTTTAATTAAAATGGCAGCCAATACTTTTTAATAAAATTATACTGATTTTTGTATATTTTTATTATATTTAATTCCAGGTAGAGTGTTATGATTATGACAATGATGGATCACATGATCTTATTGGGACATTTCAAACCACCATGACAAAACTCAAAGAAGCCTCCAGAAACTCACCTGTAAGTTACACCTTTGCAGTTATATAAACATTATAGTTTACCTGTTTATTATTTTATGTTTTTCTTTGACTTAGCAATTAGTTTATCATGTTTTTATTCTATATTGCATTAAGCCCTAATATCTTTTGTTCAATAGTCATCCATAATTCATACATGAGGTATGTGTCTTACTAAGTGGAGACCTTGTAATGGTGACCAGCACTAAGTGAGGACTCCAAACTATAGGAAAGAAAGCAAAGACCATTGCAGTGTCATCTCCAGGCGTGGAAGTAGACTTTCCTTTTTTATCTTGGAAGGGAAAACATCATAGTCCAGTGCTGGATGAAACCATGCTCTGCCCACATAGGGAAGACAGAGCACAATCACCTTCAGTGGTAGGTATGAGTCCCCCATGGCTGGCTAAGCAGGGCAGATGTCCTGTGATCTACATTTGTACCCTTCCTGTGCCTCCATGGAAGGACTTCATGTCTCCCTGCAGAGTCTAAAATACTGATAATTAGGGGTAAGCCCAAGAGTCATTAATGTACAGGTAAACCATGGAATAGTCATTGATTCTGAAGCCTGGAAAGGTTTTCGTTGTGGGGTATCCACCCAGGAAAACTGCTCAGACATGGGTTTAAACCAATAGGAAGTCTTTGTTAGTGGCCCGGTGACTACACTGGGTTTTCAGAATCCCAGTGTGGCACTGAGCCTTTCTCAGTGAGAAAGCTTAAACACCATGTTCAGGGTTGACATACTTCAGTTAACAAGAACAGTTAACCAGAAGCAGAACTACAGGAGCCAAAAAGCAAGGTTAGTGCATTTAGAGACTTTCCCAGAACTATGGACTTGGATGAATTAGGTCTTTGTTTTAGTTTTGGCTGGTGGTGCTGTCTACATGCTAATAAGCTTTATGGCCTGAATGGTACTTCCATCATGGAGTCAGTTGTGCTGAGGTCTGGGGGCCTGTTACACTTCCACAGACAACAGAAGCCCAGCACAGGCTGTGAGGAGTGTATCTTTTGGTAAGGAAATATCTTAGGCTCAAGATTCGTGCACATGAGACTGCCATTCTTGTCAAGTTTATATTTATATTAAAGTGTAATTTCTTGTGGCCACAGGATTGCATTTCATGTATTTTTGTTTATTCTGTTCATTTTCTGTCCTTGGCATTTTTTTCGTTTTGTGTTGTTCAAAAAATTAGCGTTTACTTTCTTTTTTCTTTTTCTTTTAAGATTTGATTTTAAGGGAAAAGGTTCATTGAAATTCATTTTAGTAATTTGGCTATTGCTTGTAAAAAGTTTAATATTTCATTTTCTCCTTCCATAGGTTGAATATGAATGCATAAATGAAAAAAAGAGACAAAAGAAAAAAAGCTATAAGAATTCAGGTGTTATCAGTGTAAAGCACTGTGAGGTCAGTAGTCCATAGCCACCTGTAATGAGGTCACTTTCTGAGTTCTTGTATCAGTGTGGGTTTATACCAAACAAGTACTGGCTCTAAGCAGCTGGAAATCACATGAACATGTGATCATCTTGAGGGAAAGAATGGGATTTGGAATAATAAAATCTTTCAAGTAACTCTGCTTCTAAGGTTTGACAACTTTTAATAGATATATGTACATGTATTTATGTGGATGTATATATATATATATTTAATGTATATGAGTGTTTTGCCTGCAAGTAGTTATGTATACTATGTGTGAGATGTATGCACATGTGTGCAGTGATCTGTGGAGGCCAGAAGAAGGTGTTAGGTGTTCTGGATCTGGAATTACGAGATAGTTGTTAGTCTCCATGTGGGTGCTGAGAACCAGCCCATGTCCTCTGCAAGAATACTGCCTCTTCAGTACTGAGCCCATTGGCAACTTGTTAGCAAAGGATAAAGAATGATAAAGTTTTCTTCTGTCTGAGGAAATGTGAGGTTGGAAATAACCCCGTACATCTTCCTGGGTATAATTTCTTCATAAGATGTTATAAATGGTGGGGAAAGGCCACATTTTTCCACAATGAAAGCATGTTTTGTTTTTGTTATTCCTTTAAAGCTTTATTACTAGATGCTTTTTAAAACTGTCAGTATATTAGACTTACTACATAAAACTTACAGTGACTACATTTCCCCTTTTGCCATTGGTATTCTAATCTTTTTTATTTTAGTCACATTGTGATGTCTTTTTATGTTCTTATTTGCATTTATTAGTTAACCATGGTAGATTTTGTTATGACATTATCTCATACATGTATGTAATGCGTTTTGCTCATATTTACCTTCCCCCATTACCCTCTCTTGTCCTTCCTCTTCCCAACTAGTCTCCTTTTACTTTCATTCCCCCCTTCTCCCCCCCACCCCGTGTGTGTGTGTGTGTGTGTGTGTGTGTGTGTTACTCAGTTTAATTAGGGTTATTTACAGGAGCATGAGTAGCATACCAGTGGTGATACCTGAAGAAAATGATTCTCCATCAGCAGTCACTAACAGCCTGTGAAATCACAGAAGGGACCTGACATCGTGAACCCTCCCCCTGATATTTTAGTCTTAATACTGCTGTGCTTAAGCTGTAGTAAAGTCTTTATAAGTCCTGACATCTCGGGGAGGAGTTCTATGTGCTTAAATGTGAGGTAAATTTCATGTATTTATGTCATGTCCTGGTCAACTTACAAATTCTGAAATGCATATACCAAGGAGCCTTTTGTTTCTCTTGAGTTCTGGTTATTTTTGTTTGGTTTATCAAGACAAGGTTTCTCAGTGTAACCCAGGCTGGCCTTGAACTCAGAGATTTGCCTACTTCTGCCTCCCAAGTACTGGAATTAAAGGTGTGTACCACCACCGACTGAGTTCAGCTTTAACATACATGTGTTTTTGTTTTTAGATTACTGTAGAATGCACATTTCTTGACTACATCATGGGAGGGTGCCAGCTGAACTTTACTGTAAGTAATACTGAGTTTTCTAGCATAGGCTGTTAGATATTGCCCCCCACCCCCCGCCCCCCACTCCATTTTGCAGCATTCTTCTACTACCAAGCTGCCTTGTTATGAAATTTATACAATCTGTTTAACATGATTTCCTCATGGACTGTCTAGGTTCATCATGGAGGGTTTTACTTAGTTGGTTGATGAATAAGTGTTCCCTCTTTAGAGAAAGCAGATATGCACAAACCAGTGGTTACCCTGCAGTAATTAAAGGAATAGAGAACAAACATGTAAAAACAGCCCCTAAATATGGTCATTTCACGCAGTGATTCATGATTCTTCATCTAGAAAAAGAAGTACAGGTTGTTTTCATGCTGAGGCCTGTTCACTTGTTTGTGGAAATGCTCTGGGCATTTGTTGGGGGTTGGCAGTAGAGGGTCTGGGATGATTTGGGACCTTGTTGCTTGAAGTTTTCTTGGACCTGGAGCTCAGGCAGCCCTGCCTTCTCTTTAGTAAGAACTGCTGTCTTGGCAGGTGGGAGTGGACTTCACCGGCTCCAATGGCGACCCCCGTTCTTCAGATTCCCTGCATTACATCAGTCCTAATGGTGTTAATGAGTATCTGACTGCCATCTGGTCTGTGGGATTGGTAATTCAAGATTATGATGCGTGAGTATAACTTTGGAAATACTCAAGTACATGTTTCATAATTCCTTAGAAAGGGCACTTTCTGTTTCATCAGCTGGTGTTCTAATAGAGGTGGGAAGATGCCAGTGATAGAGCAGCATTCCCTCACAAACTTCTCATCTTTATTCCTTTGTTTCACTTTGATCTTCACTCTTGCTGTGGCTCGTTAAAATGTGTTGACTATAGCTTCTTCATTTAGTGGTTGATGGAGTCAGCAAGACTCATTTCTTTGATCTGATTTCCTTGGAGTTTTAATCAGGGGTAAGTTGTATATGTGATTGAAATCTAGATGACATAATCTTGTATACAGTAATAAAAATTGTTTCTTAGCATATATACATGTTCTTTGCAATAATTAAATTTTATTTATTTATTTTTTATATATTTATTATTATTTATTATTTATATATTATTCTGAGAAAGGATCTCACTATTTCCCTCCTTGGCTTGGAACTCAGTATGTAGACCAGCCTGACCTTGAAAGCACAAAGGTCCATCTACTTCTGCCTTGAAAGTGCTGCAATTAAAGAAGTACATCACCACACTCTGCTGAAAATATTTTTTAATTGGAGCTTTGACAAGGTTAAAGAGCATCTTAACCTAATTGCTGCAAAGTATACCCTGGATTCAATTCTTAGTCATAAAACTATATGACTACTACTACTAATTATTATTATTATTATTAGAGATTTCTTATAACAGATAGTATGTGCCAGAGATCATTTTATTAGTCAGAATAGATGATGAGTCACAGATGGCAATCAACAGGTCATCAAAGAGTCACTCCTGAAAAGGGTACCAGGCCAGAGTCATTTCACACATGGAATTCTTAAAAACATGTAATTAACCAATTCAAACCCAAATGAGTGAATTTAAAAAATTTAGAAAGTATCTAGATTTCAGAAAAAGGGGAAAATTCAGAATAAGAAAAAATCAACTTCTTACTAGTCAGCAACAACAAAATTATATTGTCAAATTAAGCTAATGAAGTAAATTATATTCACTAAAAATTACAGTGAATAAAAGTCACGATACAAGTCATAATAAATGAATAGGATTTTTGTAAAATATCTCAGATTTTTAGTAAGGTAAACTAAAAATTGTGCTGAAGAACTAAGAAGGAACCATGTTTAAATAGAGAGATCCTATGATAATGATGTGAAATGAAATTTCTTTCACAGTTAATCAGTTTAAATCAGAATTACAGTAGAATCCTGACAAGTCTTAAAATTCTCTAGCTAGAAGGAGTCAGAATCATCCAGACATTTTTCTAAAGGAAAGAAGGGAAGGAGAGGAAAAGGCAAGAGGAATTTGCTCTAGCAGTTTTCTTGCTTGGTTTTTGTTTTTAACTTTTGAAAGGATTTATTAATTTTACGTGCATGAGTGTTTTGCCTGTATGTGTATGCGTACCATGTGTGTGCCTGGTGCCAGTGGAGGTCAGAAGGGGGTGGCATTATGAAGATTGTGAGCCACCATGTAGGTACTGGGAACCAAACCTGGGTCCTCTGTAAGAGCAATAAGTGCTCTTAATCTCTGAGTAGCTCTCATTCCTGCTCTAGCAGTTTTTAAAATTTATTTTACAACTCAAGTATAGAACTATACTTGACCAATTGAACCAAGCATATGGTAAGAAATAGAACTGTATGTACACATAAGTGAATTAAGTAAGAATAGCATCTAAGAGGAAAGGATTGTAACAGCAACATATTGCATTAGAGTGGAATTTAAAGCTGGACATAGTGGTACACATCTTTAATCCCAGCACTGGGGAGGCAGAGGCAGGTGGCATGTTGTGAGTTTGAGGCCAGCCTGGTCTACATAGTGAATTCTAGGACAGCGAGATCTACATAGTGAAACCCTGTCTCAAGACAAAAAACAAAGAATTGAATTTGAATCCACAATTCTTACCTGCAAAGTATAAACCACACATTGTAAACCTGAAGTAGATACTCCTCAACAAAGCAGCCTAACAAAATAGCAGTGAGTTCAGGACTGTTCCGATGTTTTTGCCCTCCTCAATTTATAGATTCTATTCCTGGTGACAAAATCTCTGCTCTTCTTTAGACAGTAGGAAGAGGAGAAAGGGGTCCAGAAATGCATGTGCATTCCCTTTTAGGGCCATGATTCAGATGCTGCTGAAAAAAATCCTCCTCATATCTCCTTGGGCTAGAACCTAGCCACCTGATCTCGACTGGCTTTTAGAATAGGTGTTGTCACCACTTCAAGTGTCTGTTATTAAGGGAGGGAGTGCTGTTGTTGGGAAACAGATGTTTCTGCTTCATATTCTACTTCAAAGTACTTTTCAGAGTAATGAGAAGTTTAATATCAAAAGTAAACTTGAAAATTTTTATTAGAAAAAAATATATGATTGGCTCATAATTTGCAGTGTGCATGGCTGGTAAGACAACAGAGGCCGAAATCTTGGAATAATTTGTATGTGTTCACATTTCTTAATACTAAAATCCATGAGGTTGGGTGGGGAGATGGCTTCAGTGAGTAAGAGTACTTTCTATGAAAGCAAGAGAAGCTTAGTTAGATCCCCAGCACCCATAGAAAAGCTTAACATGACCATGTGTGCCTATAGTCAGTGTTGGAAGATGGAAGTGATAAAGGAGAAACTGGGAAATGATAGAGGAAATTCTGTGAGAGAATTTGAAAAGGAAATCTATGAAAGTTTCTAAACCACATTAGAGACAGGCTGCAGACTAGGAAAAATATTTTTGACATGACATGGGTTCTATCATTAATGGAAAATGAACCCCAAATGCTCAGAATTAATAATACAGGATGAATGAGGTGCTTGTATAAGTGAAGGTGCTTCTGCCAAGCCTGACACCCGAGTTGCCGTCTGTTCTCACGTACATGCTGTGGCCAGCACACGACCCCCTACGCACATAAATAAATTAATGTAGTAAATACGGGTGAGCATACAAAGACTATTCCAGTAGAAAACAGTGCATTCGGTGGTATTTTCTAGTAAGGCACATTGGCCATCCATCAGTGTGCCTCTGGGAGAATACCCATACCCTGGAAGTACCAACTCACATGTTATATATTCAGGTCCATACTTTGTGTCCATAAACCACAGGCTCCAGATGGACATGTGTTTTCTTGCAGAAACTTGAGAGTTTTATAATAAATGACATTTTGCACAGTGTTTCTATGGTCAAATGTATGAATATTCACATCAAATGACATAAGTAAATGCTATAAATAACTTCATTACTTGATGCCTGGTTTTTCTGCCAGACAGTCTTGCTTAAAAGGAAAAAAAAAAAAAAAAAAGATGTGGTTTTTGTTCTTTTATTTTTTTTTGGCTTGTTCATATTTGTTCAGGGAAATAATGCACAAGGTTTAAATGGAAAGTAGTAGGTTATGAGACTTATTTTATTTATTTATTTAATAAGTATATGTGTGCATGAGGGTATGTATGTTCACCTCGTATGTTCAGGGGCCTGTGGGATATCAGAAGAGGTATAGGATCCCCTGAACTGTACTTGCAGATGGCTGCTAGCCACCAAGTAGGTGCTGGGAAATTAGCCCAGGCCCTCAGCAAGAACAAGTGCTCTCAACCATTGAGCCATCTCTTGCCCCGTAAATTTTAATTTATGCTTCTCTCGAGGCATTAGGGTGGAGAGTGATAGAGGAACATACTGTACGTCCTCCTCTGGCTTCCCTGGGTTATACACAGGTGCACATACTCAGATAGATATCACACATGCATACCACACACAGCAAAAGAACCTGGAAGATAGTTCTTCCTTTAATGCACAGAAAAACACTTAAAATGAGTGTTTTCCAGTGTTAGCATCAGCATTAGTATAGATAATTTTTTGTTTATAATTTTTTATTGCTTTGAATTTTTTAAATATAAGCATACTATTTTTAGTGTGAGTAAATATATATATATTTTTTAGCAAAAATTGTTTGATTTGTTTTCTTTTTCTTTTTTAGTGATAAGATGTTTCCAGCTTTTGGCTTTGGAGCTCAGGTGCCTCCTCAGTGGCAGGTAATTCTTTTTTTTTGTCTAACTTTTTTTGATTCTCTGTGGATTTCACATCATGCATTCTAGTCCCACTCATCTCCTGTGCCCTTGCATCTGCCCTCTGCCTTGCGTTCTTTCCCCTCCCCCAAACAAAACCAAATTTAAAAGAAAAACCAAAACAAACAAACAGTAGTAACAAAAGAGAGAAGCATCTCGTCATGGAAGCTGCAGTGTGGCCCGGTGAGCCACACAGTTTACCCGTTAGTCCACTCATCTTTACTTGCCAGGTTCATTGCCAGAGTCGTTGGTCTGCCTCAAGGTCTCTAGCTTCTGCTAAGCCACCAATAATGGGCTCTCCTGTTGTCCTGTGTTGTGGAGGTCCTGCTGTTTTGGATCTGTAGGTTTGTCCCCTTCACCTGCTCCAACAGTTCATAGATGAGGTGGATGTCGGGGTGGACCAACTCATAGCCCTGGTTCTGGGCCTGGGTGGTAGCTGGGTTGGTTATCTCACCACCTTTCCCTCATCTTCACTACCCAGGTGGCTCTCCAGCACTGGCCAGGCTAGTTACCCAGTGTGACCAGCAAGAAGTGGGGTCAGTTCTCCTGCTCTTAGGTCCTCAGATCCAGGTCCAGGTCACCCACACTCACACAACTCTACTGTTTTGCCTGGGAGAGGTGCAGGGCTCTTCTCTCCTGATTGCTATAGGGGACTGGGGTGGGGGCAGCTCTCGTGCCTTCAGGGCTGGCTCACCTGTGCACAGACAACAGAATCAGCTCTAGTATGCTGTCCAGGTAGGGTGCAGAGCCTACTCTTATGTTGCTCCAGCTTGTGAGGGCAAAGGCTAGTTCGCACTCTAGTGACCCCAGGGCCAGCTCTCTCGCTTGCAGAGAGAGGAAGGATAGCAAGGGGTGGAGGCGGGAGGGCATTTTTTCTTCATGCATGCCACTTCCTGGCAGACAAGGTAGGGCAGGGGCAGTTCTGTTGCTCTCATGCCTTCAAAGCTGGCTCACCTGTGTCCCTAACGACAGGATCAACTCTAATGTGCTGCCCAGGTGAGGTGCATGCCTGTGGTGAAGGGTGGAGCTGTCTTTCCTGAGTGCAGGATAGGGGCTGTGGGAGGATGATGGTGGAGGGGCAGCTTTCCCCTGATGGGTGGGACCAGCTCTCCTGATGTAATATCCAGTAAAGGCCAGAGCCAGTGAAGGGTAGAACTGGCTCAACACAGCATGGTTCCAGTGACGCCTCCCACTGTGCTAGCGCAGACCATGGACATCCTCACTGACTCCAGCTGCAATAGGACATGGTCCTTGGCAGCATCTTGGGCCCAGAAGTCACCATGGCCCTAGTGGCAGCATAGCCCTGGAGCACCAACATGGTCTCAGGTGACTGACCAGAACCTGGGTGTCTGCAGAGCCCTCAGTGGTAACCGGAACTATGGACATCACCCCAGATCCCAGCTGCTGTAGGGCCACAGACCCAGATGTGGCTCTAGGCTGCAGCCTGGGTCTGAATGCCTCCATGGCCCCAGGTGGCAGCACCAGCCACCCAAATGAATATGGCCCCAGCAGTGGCATGGTTCTTGGACACTGACATGGTCTCAGGTGGCTGAGCAGACCCTGGTCATTCGTTTGGCCCTTGGTGGTAACAGGAGCCATAGACATCAACTCAGACCCTGGCTTTTGCAGGGCCACGGATCCAGACATGGACCTTAGTAGCAACCCTGGGCCAGATGACACCACAGCCCTTGGGCACACTCATGGCCCTGTGTGGCATCTGTGTGGTCTTTGCTGGCAACATGGGCCACAGACATCAATACAGACCCTGGCTGTGATAGGACACAGACTCAGACGTGAGCCTAGGCAGGAGTCTGGGCCTGGATGTCACCACAGTCCCAGGTGGCAGTACAGGCCACTGAGAGTGGCATGGCCCCCATGGCAGTGTGGCCATTGGGCACCAATATGACCTTAGGTGGCAGCTCAGACCCCTGGCATCAGCACATCCTTCAATGGTCTCGGGAGCCTTGGACATCAACACAGACCCTGGCTAAGCCAGGGCCATGGACCCAGATATGGCCCCAGGTGACAGCACTAGCCACCCCAATTGGCTTGGCCCTGACAGCAGCACAGCTCTTGGATACCAACATGGTCAGAGGTTGTGGCCTAGACCCAGGGCATCGGTGTGGCCCCCCATATCATCACAGACCAGGGACATCAACTCAGACCCTGACTGTGTTAGGATCATGGACCCAGACATGGTCCTCAGCAGCAGCCAGGGCCGAGATAGCACCATGGCTCCAGGTGGCAGTGCAGGCCATCCAGATTGGCATGGCCCCTGCAACAGCATAGCCCTCAGATACCAACATGGCTCCAGGTGGTGGCCCAGACCACAATCTTCCTCATAGCCATCAGTGGCAACAGGAGTCACAGACATCAACTCAGGCCACCTCAGCTGCTTCAGAACTCAAAGACCTGGCCCTTGGCTATAGCTTAGACACCAAGTCACCTTGGATCCAGGTGGCTAGCAAGCCATTCACGTTAGCCTATTCCTCACTGCCTTCATGTCTTCAGATCTGCCTCTCCCCTAAGCCCGTGAACTGTTCTGCCTCTCTCTCTCTTCCTTTCCCCACCCTGTACTGGCTAACCATAATGGTGCCCAACCATCCTGGCGCCCAACCATCCTGGCACCATGGCTCTTGGTTGGGTCACAGGTGGCACATCGTTGAGTCCTACCTGCCCCTGCTCAAGGCATGGTGCAGACCTGTTGCTTTTCTTCTGACATGTCTGGGCCTAGAAACCTTGGGTGGCACTTGGTATGATGGTGCCAGACCACCCGGTGCCAGAGGCACTGGGCAGGCTCCTGGTTGATGGTGCCCCTCCAGACCAAGAAGTCTGGGGTGGAGCCATCTGTGTCCTCGACTGGCTCAGGTCTGGAAAGGGCTGATCTGCCAGGAAACCTCCTTTTAAAGCTTTATTCTGAACTAGCAAACAGGCCTCACCACCCTTTTTTCTTTTGACAGGTGTCTCATGAATTTCCAATGAACTTTAACCCATCTAACCCCTACTGTAATGGTAAGTAAAGCCAAGAAGCCAAACATAAAGACCACCTCACTACCATCTTAGGAGTAGGTCACTAAAAGTCATCATAAAAATAAAAAGTATTTTCACATGTAAGTTGACTATAAAATAAACTTCCCATAAGTGATTAGTTCAGTATTAAAGACTCTGGAGAAAAGGTTCAGAGAAGCAATCACTCTTGTCAAGTGAAAAGTGTCAGTTCTTATATTTCTTACTGCTTGCACAGTATTCACTCAGTAGCTAGGACGGTGACGAGAACAGGGAGCTGAGCTCCTAGCACAGCTCTGTAGACAGCAGGAAGCTGGTGTTTGTCTTCCATTTCACTTTTTGCTTTATACTTCAGATGCACAAATGCTTCCTCTTTAAAAGTAATTTTTTGAAAAATCAAATTGAACAACCAACCTGCAATACCAAGACTCCTACTAAATTATGTAAGACTGAATGTTTTGGGGAGGAAAGGTAGTTGTGTGTTTGTGTGGTTGGAGATATTACTTAAAATTCTATATTCTAAATTGATACCCTGCAGAGGGTCCCTTTTTTTTTTTTTTCTTAAGAGGGTCCCTTTTAACATCTACAAAGTGCATAGTAGCTTCTAGAGACAAAGATTATTTATCTTTGTAAATACTCACAGGTTGGAAGAACACAGGGTTACTTCTGGGGGTTGTTTCTTCTTTGTTCTAAGATACCTTTCCTGTACTAATTAATTCAGTATTCCTTTGAGGTACTTTTAGTGCATGGTTGTGACCATTTTTATGTCTAGATATTTATAATTGAGTTTATTTTAAAAATGTGCTTTTGTTAGTGTGTTAATTTTGGTGTCTGATTTTATTTGTAAGGTTTTTATGATAAAGTTTATAAAACCATTTATTATTGAAGATAAAATAAAGAAATGTCCTTGGTGCTTATCTGAAATTGGAATTGTTTTTGGAATATAACTTATGTCATATGACAACTCATTCTAGAAGTTTATTGCTCTATAAGTAGTGTGAACCCATCCTTGGTCTGCTCATCAAGCAAATAGCCTTTTCTCTTTAGGTATATAGTCTGGAAAAAAAAAACAGTTTGGTTATAGATTACAGGTATACTATATAGAAAAGGGAAGGACTTAAGACACCAAAGTTAAATTCCCTTTTTTTTTTTTTTTGTTTTTGTTTTTTTTCGAGACAGGGTTTCTCTGTGTAGCTAAATTCCCTTTTTAAAAAGACATCATTGAGCCTAGTTGCCTAGAAATGACATTTCACTTATTGCTTTAATGCAAGGAAGGATTTCAGTAAAATTCAATTTTAAGTGAGTAGTTGAATACTTTATATTTGTGAAGAGAGTAAATTGTTAAAACCTTCAGGGTACAAAGCACGCATAATAATACAAATGGAGAAAATACTTCTGTCTTTGTCAGTGTTCTATTGGTGTGAAGAGACACCATGACCATGGCAACTCTTAGAAAAGAAAGAAAGCATTTAGTTGGGACTTGCATAGAGTTTCAGAGTTCAGTCCATTATCCTCATGGTGAGGAGCATGGCTGTGTGCAGGCAGACATGGTAGCTGAGAGTTCTACATTCAGATCTGCAAGTGGGAGGAAAAGAGACTCTGGGGTCAGCATGGGCTTCTGAAACCTCAAATCCCACCCCAATGACACACTTCCTCCCAAAGGTCACACCACCTAATCCTTTCAGATGGTGACCAAGCATTCAAATCTGTGAGCCTATGGGGGGCATTCTTATTCAAACCACCACAACTATTGTTGCTGAAGTAAAATGCTCAGGTTTTCTACAGTCTATTCCATTGCAGTTAGTGATGTTGCTAGCTATGGTTAATATTGTTCTTATTACTGTTAGACTAACTCCTAGTTAAACTGTCAGTTTATACATGTAAAATTACATCTCTGCATGAATTATTCTCATAGGTAATTTGCTCATGGCTACTTGTTTCTAAGTTCAACATGACCTAAAGGAGTTTCTTGGAACTCTTAAATTTTAAGAGGAGAGAATTGGTGTTTCGTTCTTGTCCTTGATCTAAAGCAAGAGACTTGTTTTTGTTGAAAAGTTTTCTACAGGGCTGAAGAGATAAGTCAGCGAATAAGAACAATTTCTATACAAACATGAGGACCTGAGTTCAAATCCCAGCCACCCATGTAAAAAGCTGGGTATGACTGCACATTCCTGTAACCCCATTGGAGGTCACAGACAGGTAGATCTTGAGAGTTCACTGGTTAATCAGCCTAACCAAAGTGGTTCGTATGATACCCTGTTTTAAGGCAGAAGATGGAGAGCAATGGAGGACACCTGATACCTTGTTATGGTGTCTGTATGGCATGCACAGGCGTACATACCTGCACATTCGCTTGCGTGTACCATGCATACACACCACACATATACACTACACACAAATGAATAAAAATTTACACTAAAAAAATAAAACTTCAAAATACACTATAAACAAGTATCTATGGTTTCAAAACAGTGCAGGGAGTTCTTTTGGTATTTGTAGCATTTGCCTGTATCCTAAACTAACATTGAGGACAGAATCAACATACCTAGGATACTCATTTGTAGACAACTTTTCACCAGACACTAGCTGGCTCACCAGGCCATGCTGTTGTAACAGAACTATCTCTACACCTCAGTGACTTACAGTGGCACATCTGTGCCTTACTCGTTTGACTTGTAGCTAGATCACAGCTGTTTTCCACATTTCTTTTTTAGTTTATTTTTATAAGATAGGTCTTGCCATGTAGTTCAGGCTATAAACTTGGCATCTTCCTACCTCAGTTTCCTGAGTCCTAGGATTGTAGATGTAAAGCCTCACCCAGCTCTCCTAAGTTTCTTAGTCTGGGACTCAGCCTGAAGGACCAGCTCTTCACCTGCTGGTCCTGTGACCCAGGAACAGAGTACAAGAACTAGAGAAAACAGGCAGTGGTTCTTAAAGCATCTGCTTAGATGTGGGGGCCCTGTCCACTTATATGCATTGAATCACATAGAGAGAGCCCCGTTCAACTTGCTATTAATAAGACTGGCAGGCCCAACTGTTTACAGTTTCTACAGAAAATGCAGGAAACGGCCCATGTGAATATTGAAACTAATGCATCCACTATACCGTGCCTGACCCTTACTTGTATCGTCTAATTGTTTAGAACAATCAGCCTTATAACCTTATTTTTTTATAGAACTTTGACCACATGTGCAAATCAGTGTTTATCTCATTAATTTTTTCTTTCTGCTTAACAGTTGTAAGATGTTACACTTTTTTCATCAAAAACACACCAAAGTTAAGCATAAATATAAGTCCCATCTGAGATGAAAATGCATACTTTCTGCTTGGAGAGGCTGTGTTTGTAGCTTTCTACAATGAAGCACAACCATGAAGAACTCTTGAATGTGAAACTTTTCCCTAGTCAAAGTACTTTTTGTTGTTGTTTTCTTTTGTTTTGTAGTTGTGATAGGGACTCACTATAGTCAAGGTGATTTTGATACTTCCACTGCAGTCTCCCTAGAGCTGGGATAACAGCTATTATTCACCAGACTTGATATGTATATAATTGTGCTTCCCAGTACTGTGGGCTAACAAATTACATTTGAGGATTTTTAATACTACTTTCTTTGATCTAGGAATCCAAGGCATTATAGAGGCTTATCGGACCTGTCTTCCTCAGATAAAACTCTATGGACCAACTAATTTTTCTCCAATTATAAATCATGTGGCCAGGTTTGCAGCTGCCGCCACACAGCAGCAGACAGCGTCTGTAAGTGCTCTAGGCTCAGGAACAAAAGGGTGTGGTTGGTACTTCTTCCTGGTTACCATACTGTTGTTTATTGAGTTTGTCAGGGTACTAAATCAAGAGTGAAAAGTGATGATATAATCAGCATTAGTTTGGGAGAGGTATCTGTTGCTACTAATGATCACTAAAACAAAATAATGCTTGCATTTGCGAGTCTTTTCTCTGACTTTGGAAGTAATTTGTTTAGATTCTACCAAAAGGGAGGGGGGGGCTATTACTTAACTTTTAGAAACATAGTTGATGTGAAGGCCTTTGAATACTTTTATCAGTTGCTGGTATTGCATCACTTAACTGTACTACTGAGGTTTGAATTAGTTGACCATTACCAGTCGGATGTTGGGTACCAAATCTCTCATGTTGTAATATATTTAGAAGTAGGGATCACGGGGACCCTATTGTGCAGGTGTTGAAAAAGTTAAACAAGATAATTCATGTAAAGTGCACAGTGCCTGGGTCAGAGAAAACACGCCCATACTTATAAGTTACTGTCATAAATCTTATTCCTGTCCTAGATTTAACTTGCCCAAAAAATGAAATGACAACTTTATGTGACATTTTATTGCTCTGGAAAGTTTCATCAAAAAAGAAAAAAAAATTGTAAAGCATCTGTTTTAGCCAGGCAGATAATCCTTCTGCAAAAGTTTTGGATCTGTTGAGATTGGACTTCTCATCTGCTCCCTTGCTCCAATCTTTGACATGTTTAGTGGTTCAGTTTAATGAGTGTTTATTCCTCTGATTACTTGAAAGGTTTCTCTTCGACATTTAGATTTCTTCTGAGTATTTTTTCAACCTATTCTGTGGTGTGTTGCATTTGTAATGAATCTTCAGTTTTCGTAAGAGTTGATCCTTGTCATCAGAGAATTCCAGAATATTTTATGCAGATGGTATCCTAGGTTTAGTGTGGCAGTGAGAATGAGTAAGTGAGGCAGATGACTCCTTAACCTAGACCACTGTCTGACCTTCACCTGCTCAGTGGACATGCTTTATGTTTTGGCAGCAATACTTTGTGCTCTTGATCATCACGGATGGCGTGATCACAGACCTTGATGAAACCAGACATGCTATCGTCAATGCTTCCAAACTGCCCATGTCTATCATCATTGTGGGAGTTGGGGGAGCTGACTTCAGTGCCATGGAGTTTCTGGATGGTGATGGGGGAAGTCTCCGCTCCCCATCAGGAGAGGTGGCCATAAGAGATATTGTTCAGTTCGTGCCTTTCAGACAGTTCCAGAATGTGAGTACCATTCTTTCTGACTTAAACCCAGACCTTCAGGATGCTTTTGCTTTTGCATGTGAGAGGTTTGGTTTGATTGGGCATTTTTGTATCTTTTGTGCTTTTGCTATGATAGTATGATAAACTTAAAATGAAACTGTTATGAATATGTTAAGTTTTTTTTTTGTTGTTGTTGATGTTGCTTTTGTGTTAATTACTTTCCTCATGGTTGTGAAAAGTTACCTGGAAAGACAACTGGAGGAAGTAAAAGCTTCCCTTGGCTCGTGGTCCATCATGGTGGGAAAGGCATGGCAGGAGTCTGGGCCAGCTGGTCACAGTACATCCACAGTCATGCAGAGAGGATGAATTTGGGTACTGCCTTACTTAGGGGTTTTATTGCTGTGATAAAACACTATGATCTATAGCAACATGGGAAAGAAGTTTATTTTGCTTACACTTTCTTATCACAGTCCATCACGCAGGGAGGAACCTGGAGGCAGGAGCTGAAGCAGAGGCCACAGGAATGCTGATTATTGGCTTGCTTCTTATGGCTTGCTCAGCTTGCCTTTTTATAGAACCCAGGATACCAGCCTAGGGGTAGCACCACCTACAGTGGTCTGGACCCTCCAATATCAATCACTAATTGAGAAAACGTTCTATGCTGGGTGGTGGTGGTACATGCCTTTAATCCCAGCACCTGGAAGGCAGAGGCAGGCAGATACCTCTAAGTTTAAGGCCAGCTTGGCTTACAGAGCAAGTTCTGGGACACCAGGATTACACAGAAAAACCCTGCCTTGAAACAGAGAGAGAAATAGAGAAAGAGAGAGAAAAGAAAGAAAGAAAGAAAGGAAGGAAGGAAGGAAGGAAGGAAGGAAGGAAGGAAGGAAGGAAGGAAGGAAGAAAGAAAGAAAGAAAGAAAGAAAGAAAGAAGAAAAGAAAGAAAGAAAGAAGGAAAGAAGGAAAGAAAGAAAGAGAAAGAAAGAAAATGTTCTTCAGGCTGTCTACAGCCCAATCTTAGAGAAGCATTTTCTTAATTGAGCTCCCTCTTCTCAGATAACTCTAGTTTATATCAAATTAACATTAAAAAACCAGCCAGCTCAGATGCTCAGCTCAATTTTTCTTTACTTAGTCCAGTACTCTGATGCATGGAATAGTACCACTCATACTCAGGGTAGGTCTGTCTACTCATCCACTCCAATTAAACTGCTCTGGGAACAGAGATAGGGCCAGAAGTTTATGTCCTTGGTGATTCTGGATCCTATTGAATGGACAATCAAAATAAGCTACACTTTGTAACAACAGAAAAACAAATCACTAGTGTAGCTAGAGTTTACCTGCCTGGCCCACAGTCAGGACAAATCTTTGTTACCCGCCAGTCCCACAGCCATTCAGACCCAACCAAATAAACACAGAGACTTATATTGGTTACAAACTGTATGGCCGTGGCAGGCTTCTTGCTAACTGTTCTTACAGCTTAAATTAATCCATTTCTATTAATCTATACCTTGCCACGTGGCTTGTGGCTTACCGGTACTTTACATCTTCCTTGTCCTGATGGCGGCTGGCAGTGTCTCCCTCACCCAGCTTCCTGTTTTCTCAATTCTTCTCTCTGTTAGTCCCGCCTATATTTCCTGCCTGGCCACTGACCAATCAGTGATTTATTCATTGACCAATCAGCAACACATTTGACATACAGACCATCCCACAGCACACTAGCCAAACCTCTAGGAAAATATGTCTACTTGAAGAAAAGCTCTTAGAAGCAGGGTATGTTAATACATCTTTAGTTCTCTCGCTCTAAGACCAGTTTGGACCATGTAGTGAGTTCCAAGCTATCTAGAGTCCTATAGGAAGACATGTCTCAAAAAAAAAAAAAAATCTGTTAGAAGATTGGTCCAGTGTTAATACCTTGTAGACTATTTTATAGGATCACAGCCAGGAATTATATAATATAATTACGATTCATCACCACAGGGAGCCCTTACGTTGTGCCTTTGTTGGTGCATCTACTTCCCATCTACACCTGTGCCTCCTTAGCCCATGGAAACCACTAAACTGTTCATTTCTATAATCTCGTAAGTTCAGGAATTTACATAAATATTTGGGTAAGATGGTACATGTCTGTAGTAACAGCACATGGGAGGCAGCAAGTGTGAATTTGAGGCCAGTCTGAGCTGCTTGGAGAGATACTATCTCAGAAAACAAACAAGTAAACAAAAATTTTACATAAATGGAATCATACTGTATATGAACTATAAGGCTGGCTTTTTTCTTCTAGCATGGTTCTTCTTAGAGTCACCCAGGTTCTTGCATGCATTGCTCCTTAGTTTTGTTTGATTTTTGAATTCTTGAGACAATTTCAGTCAGGAATTTCCAGTGTAGACCAGGCTGACCATTTTGAGAGGAACATGGAAAAATTTAATATATAATGCTATATGAAATACAGTCTTATATCACATATATAAAAAAAACAAAAATAGAAACCCAAATGTGAATATTTTAGCAGCTTTATGCATAATATATAAAAGCTGGAAACAACCCAGATGCCCTTCAAGAGGTAAATGAAGAAGGAAACTATGGTACATCTAAAACATGGGATACTTATGAATAGACTTTAAAAACAGTACCTGGTGCTTTTACAAAGGCTGATATGAAGGCCTTACATGAAGGTTGCTTGGGAAAATAAGCATTCAGAATCAATTCTGTTTAAACTCATGTCACTCCTGTAATCATAGACTGTGTTTCATATAGCATTATACATTAGATTTTTACATGCTCATTTCAGAATGGTGACTGATACCCAAAACTCCTTTTAAAATTCTTTTATAGTATTACTAGAGCTTATAGGTAATTAAAATGGGGATTGCATTTAGTAGTCATAAGAATGACTAATAAACTCTTTGTATGACTAACATAAAGTCTTTAGGCACAAATGGAACAATCTTTTAACATGACTTTCATATAGACTTTCAATAAGAGGAAAAAGTTAAAGATACATTAAAAAAAAAATAGGCCATGCATGTTAGCTCACATCTCTAGTCTTAGCACTAAGCAAACAGAGGCAGGAAGGATATCAAGATCACTTGGGAGGCAGAGGCAAGCAGAAGTCTGTAAGTTCAAGGCCAGCCTGGTCTACATAGTGATTTCCAAGCCAGCCAGGGCTACATAGTGAGACCCTGCCTCAAAAAATAGGAGCCATAACAACAGAGAATTATCAATATGAAATGGATGGCACCAAAGAACTTGACACATATTAGCAGTGATAATGATGGCAATTATAAATAACATTGATTATTTCCCCCATATTATGTGGACTGTTCCTAATGTACAAGCCTAGAGGTTGGGAATTTCCACATTTTAATGACTGCTGAGTTATCTGTAATCTTTTATCATATAGCCAGTATATCAGCCAAATATGGTTGTGTGTGCCTGCAATTCCAGCACTTGGTAGGGAGAGTCAGGAGGATGGAGAGTTCAGGGTCATACTTGACTGTATAGTGAGTCCAAGGCCAGCTTGAGCTACAAGAGACAAACAAATAAGCAAGCCAGCAAATCTCCAGTTGGTAACAGTAACTGTGATTTTGTTTTTCCTCAAGGCTCCAAAAGAAGCTCTTGCACAGTGTGTCTTGGCAGAGATTCCCCAGCAGGTGGTGGGCTACTTCAACACATACAAACTCCTTCCTCCCAAAAACCCAGCTGTGAAATAGAAGGAGCCAGGACAACTCCAGGATTCATAAGCCTCGTGGAGCAATGCCATCTCTTATGCAGAATGATGTATCTTATCTACCTTATGTGCTTTTCACCCCCAGTGTTCCTGAGACAAACCCAACTTTTTGTACGTATTTTATTTGTTTAAAGCACACGTTTTATACTTTTTGAAGAGGACAGTAGCAAATCCATCTCTGCTTCATAAATTCAGTGATTGTTAGTGATGTCTAGAAATTGTAAGAGTGCTATTTGGAATTGAATTTAATGTGGGAAAAGTGGGGATTTGTTGGTTTGTTGTCTACTTTCTATAATGAAAATGCTAATTTTAAATGTTGTCAGAGTGAATGAGGAATTACAGGATGATGTGGTTTGCAGGTTGCTATACTGTTTATAGTAAATATCTTGCAAGCCAGAGTCTGTACTTGTGACTGAGAGAGCTCCTTAAAACAAGTAGTACTGAATTTGTACCTGTGACTTTGTATTTGTCCCTTCCCATGCTGCAATGATGCATTATACAAAACTGTTTTCACATGGGTCTTCATGAAAAGCAGGAACTTACTCGGTTTTTAAAATGTTCAATCAACCAGTGGAAGGATCCTTGCAGACAAGACAGCTTTGCCTTTTGAAATCTCTTCTTTTCTCTGTCAACTGTTACACACAACATGGTCAGGTTTGGCCTTTCTTTTACTGAGTAAACAAGACATCCTTCTGTGGAAGTGCAAATGATAGGTCATTCCCAGAGTCTACATGACTAGGTCAGTGTAAGGTAACTAAGGGATTGGGATTGCTTTGTCCATTAAAGCTGTGAGGACCAAACATTTAAGATGAAAATTCACAATTGTAGGCTAGGCATGGTGGCACATCATACTAGCGCTTGGGAGGCAGAGGCAGGAGAATCATCAGAAGCCAATCTGCCTATGTAGTAAGTTCCAGGTCAGCCAGCTACACAGTAAGATGTTTCAAAATAACAAAGAAAAATAAATAATTGAGAAATCCATTTCTTCTATCTAATGGCATAATTGGGGGAGGTCATTTTTATTCTTTTTTTGCTATGGTCCTGTGCATTGATTTGTATAAATTTTTTTTTAGATATTTTTGCCTTTTAAAATGGTATTTTTGTTTTCTTTAAACATGTAGTTCATTATTTATTAATCAAAATTCCATTTTTCATTTCAATAATGTATTATTTCCTAAGTTCAGAGTGGATTCTGTTAAGCATAAAACCTGATACAGCATTTAAAAAGAAAAAGCAACTCACACAAACAATACCCTTTTCTAATTGCTACATTTAGATAGTGTGTACTTAGTATGCATGTTTTGAAGAATAGAATTATCTCGACTCTACCCTTTGAAACATGCTGCTTCCTGAGCACCACATGTTTGGAATAGATTCTGTAACATTTGCCTGAGACTCTCGATGTCAAATACTTTGCCCGTCTATGCAGTGGCCAATCATCACTAACAATTTAACATTTAAAATTGTGTATTTGTCACATAGTCTAGCCCTAGTCAGCGTTCCTGTCAGTGTAACTGAGTCCCTCTACTGCTGCCTGTGTCTTTGTTCTCTGCAGGCTTCTCAGAAAGAACTTATTGCTGAGGTCTTGTTTGCCTAGCCCAGTGAGCAGATGCCTCCTTCCCACCTGGGTAGCTGGCATCTTGGTATGTGCTATTAACCTGAGGCAGTGTACCTCTATAGCAGGGTTTCTTAAATTTATTTTTGAGTCATTTCACTCAAGACATTTTTATGCAACCCCAGTTTTATAAGCATTTAAGATAGGTATAAAATCAAACATTGCAAGTAAATCAAATGAAATTTATTTTAGGGGGCTGGAAAGATGGCTCAGGGTTCAGAGCATATATTACTCTTGCAGAGGACCTGAGTTTGGTTCCCAGTACCTACATCAGGCAGCTCACAGTTGGCTGTAACTTTAGCTTCAGGGGCCCTGATGCCCTCCTCTGTCCTCCATGAGCACTGCACACGTGCATACACACACAGAGACACACACAGTTCCAGCTTCAGGGGCCCTGATGCCCTCCTCTGTCCTCCATGAGCACTGCACACATGCATACACACACAGAGACACACACAGAGACACACACAGTTCCAGCTTCAGGGGCCCTGATGCCCTCCTCTGTCCTCCATGAGCACTATGCACATGCGTACACACACAGAGACACACAAACAAACTTATTTAACACAGTTTTTTTAGACTTACAATTTTACCATTTATTAAAGGTGAAGGCATATTTGCCTATTCATGAGGTGGATATACTTTGTTTTTAAATAAGAATTTGATCTCAGCTGGATCTGTTGCATACATAGAGCACCTTTGATGTGCTTCAGACTTGATTGATATTTTGATTTTACAATTGTCAATGCTTAGAACCCCCTTTCACATAAATACATAGTACAGAATGTCATAAACATGTTTAGGGGTGTTTCAGAAGTTGAATGTTCTGTCCTTATCCTAAGCCAAAACACATTTAAAGATTTTTGAACGAAGCTGAAGCTGACAATTTTTAAAAATCAAACTTCCTAACACAATACAATCTAGAGATATTGATTTGACATTTACTGGATTCAGAATGGCAGGAGGTATTGAAGTCTTTGTTTTCTAAAACTAAGCACTTATGCTTCAGAAAGCTAGTTTGTGCAGTAAAATGGCTGTGATTCCTAATACACAAGTAACCCTGAGTGGAGCTGAGGTACTCAGGCAGTGTTTATTGTTGTTATTCATGGCATGGCTGCTGTGTAATGCAAAGTGCACTGGGTGTGTCCTCAGCACCAAGGCTGCAGTGAAGTTGAGTGATATAATATGGGCGAGCCCCTCCAGAAACACCTCAGATTCATTATACAGTTGCTTTTGAATTAATTGTTGGCCATTGTGCATTAGACCTTAGAAACCTTTTACTGAAGTTGGATTTTTCAGTCAGCTACATGACTACTTATGGGGCCATGGCCCACAGTTCAAGAACCTGTACAGCCTGATTCATTAGTAACAATTCAGTTATCAATAAAGGAGACAAATACTGATTTTCTTTCTTTTTTTTCTTTTCTCTCTTTTGAAGCCATTACTGTTTCACACATCTCAGTTCTCTGTGCTTGGGAAGACGCCACAGTGGTTTTCAGGACTTTCTTTTGCATACAGAGGGAGCTAGCACAGAAGTGGCTTACACATTCTCGTGTGTGTGACGCAGTAGCAGAGGGGCTTCTCTGGCTCTGAAGCAGGACTTGCTGCTTGCTCAGCCCCAGAGACTCCTCAGAACTGTAGACCCTTCTTCATGCTTTCAGTGGGCATCTGGCAGCCATCTTTCTGCCATTTGGTCTGAACAGTTGTACATTCTGGCCTACCAGAATTGTTTGCTGTTAAAATAGTTTTTTCTTTAAATGACTCATCTTGATCAGGTTTTTATAGATATGTTATTTATAAGACCTGTGATTCTGGCAAACTAAAGCAATCCATACGTTACTTGCAGTTTGAAATAAAAGCATTTACAACTTCTAAATTGTCATTTTATAAAACTCGTAGTTTCAGCCCTCAACTTCATTCCATGCCATTTTATATTGAAATATTTATTTTCCTTATTGTGCCATTATTTGAACAAATGCCATTCTTTCATAAAATACATCTAAAATGAAAATCACCACATTGATTTTCATTTCTCTGTAACCACATATGTACATGCATATATTCAGGAATAGTATTCCCACTGGTCTAGTCACCTTGTCTTCTGTTTACAATTGATTTTTTTAAAAAGGCCCTTAAAATTTTAAGTCTTTTGAGGGATTTACAAGTGTTCACTTTAGACAATGCTTGGTCAGCTTTTCCAAAATAAATTCAGGGCCTCATTGCTGCTTGTGCTGCATTTTGACATGCTTTCCTCCTTTCATACATTTCCTAGAAAGCCATCTTCAAGAATACTCTCTAGTCTATTTTTCATGAAGGTGATGTAAGGTAAGTTAGCAGCTGGGTGAAAATTGTGAGCAGTTGTGTTGCTGTGGATGTCACAGTATGTGCATAACTTACCAATATATGAATTCATGTCAAATATATCTTCTGTGTGAATTCCCTTTGGATAAAGTTACTGCTTGATGTAACATGGCTGTATTTTGTTTTCATTTGTATTTCTCTACATCTTACCAAAATAATAGAAAATGGAGCTGGATGAATGGCTCAGTGGATAACACCACTTGCCACTTAAGTTTGAGGACCTGAGTTCAGATCCTTGTACCCCTGTAATAAGCCAGGCATGGCCACACAGGCTTTAACCTTAGCACTGGAGGGAATGGGTACAGCTCTTAGCCTAGCTGGGAACTGGCAAGCTCCAGGTTTAGTAAGAGGTCCTTACTTAATGGAATAAGGCAGAGAAAAAATAGAGGACACTTGGTGTCCTCTGGCCTATGCATCCCTCACACACTTATTCATGCACTCATATACCATATACAAGAAAAATAATAGAAAAGTTAGAAATAAATAGAAAATTAGTCTAATTTGGGGTGCCATTAAAAACCACCATAGACTGATTTGTAAATAACCCAGGCTGGGAAGTTCAAGAGCATGATGCTGGAATCTAGAAGGCGCCTCTGCTGTGTCGTGACATGGTAGAAAGGCAAAGAACACATGTGAGATGGGGAGAAGGATTTGAGCTGAACTTATCCTTTGCATCAGGAACCTACTTCCACAGTGACTGACCTGGACCTGTGATAGAAGCATTAACAATTCAGTAGGGCTAAGAACTGAATGGTAACTGATAAAAAAAGATTAAACAGCAAATATTAGGCTGCTTGGGGTTCCTAGTGCTGTGAAGAGACATGCCACAGCAACTCTTATAAAGAAAAACATTTAATTAGGGTGGCTTACAGTTTCAGAGGTCAAGTCCATTATTATGATGGGACATGGCAGCATGCATGCAGACATGGTGTTGAAAAAGGAGCTGAGAGTTCTACATCTTGATCACAGGCAGCAAAAAGAATCTCTGTCCATATTGAGCATAGCTTGAGCCTAGGAGACCTCAAACCCCCCCCCCCCCCCCCCCCCCCCCGTGACACCTCCAACAAGGCCACAGCTCCTAATAGTACGATCCCCTATGAGCTTCTGGGGGGCAGTTACATTTAAACTATCACAGAAGCTAAATGTTTTAAGAATACAAAAAAAATGCATTTATTGAATATAAGGGCGAGAAAATGTAATCAAGAAAGGAGTGGAAAGAAGGAGCAATTGGTGGGGTTTCATCCTGGGGAGCCCTCAGCGCAGACAGGGGAGGGCTCAGTCTTAGGGGAAGAATAATGTTGGATAGGTTTCAGGAAAGGCATATTCGTAATTTTGAAAGACTTAAAGGGCCTTACATTTCCATCATTAACATAAGCTCAAGGGCTCCACTGACCACATTGCCAAACTCAATTCTGGCCACAGTGACACACAAGCCAGGGAGTTGGCAATGTCACCTGGTGTGACTCAGCTTTTAGAACACACACTTAGTTCTGGGTCTTTTCCAGATTATTTGGCTACAAGTCTGCTTCTGTATCATCATTTGGGCCCTCTCATCAGTTCCTTCAATGGTTCAGAGGTTGGCACACACCTGGTAATTACACAGATCTCTAGAACTGCCAATCTTGCTTGTGATAAGATCATTACTCTTGTCACTTGTCACTAATCATCACTATGTTTTGCCAAATTCCCCAGAAAAATCACAGGAGTTTGTAAATTACCTTGGAGACTGGCTTAGCTATCTGCCCCCGTCCCATGATGGGTAAGATATTTCAAGCAGAATTTTGATATTGTACAGCTCTAGGAGAGTTGGATCTTTGATTCATTAGCAGACTTACCAGTCACCAGGTTTAGAAACAGCTCTGGTCTTCAGAGCAGGACTTAGGTCTAGGACTAGGAGCCCCAGGGGTTTCTCAGGAAAAAGAATGTATAGGAAATAATTCTTGTGTCCTTCAGTCGTCACACCCATCTTAGTTACTTTTCTGTATCTGTGATGACACCATGACCAAGGTAATTTATATAAGAAAATGTTTATTAGGGCTTATGGTTCCAGAGGGCTAGAACCCATGATGGCAACAGGAAGTAAGGCATGGCACTGGATTAGTAGCTGGGAGCCTACATCCTGATCCACAGGCATAAGGCAGAAAGAGAGAGGAGGGGGATAAGAAGAGAGGAGAGGAATAAGAAGACGAGGAGAAGGGAGAGGGGGGAATAAGAAAGGAGAGAGGAGAGAGGAATAAGAACAGGAGGAGAGAGGAGAGAGGAATAAGAGGAGGAGAAGGAGGGAGAGACAGAGACAGGAATGGCATGGGCTTTTTGAAATATGAAAGCCCAGCCTCGAGTGACACACCTCCAACAAGGCCATAACTCCTAACTCTTCACAAACGTTTCCACCAACTGAAGACCATGTATGTATATATATTGGGGCCATTCTCATTCCACCATCCTGTAAAATGTATTCATTTTCCTCTTGCCTAAATAGTTACTGAATAGCTTGCTACTGGCAATCAACAAAGGAATTTTTTAAAAGAAATCTGATTATCTCCAAAGCTTATGACTTAATATGAAAATGAAGGTGATACGTGAAGACAAAGCAGGAATAAGCAAGTGAGGTCCTCTGTGGTAACAGTGAAGCTGTCTCTTCATAGCTTCAGGCATTTTTGGGGACCCACAAATGGCCTCTGAAAGACAGGACAAATCTGTTGCCCCACCCAGACTGTTGACACATTCCCTCACACAAATTTTGGCACATTAACTTCTTTTTTTTTTTTTTTTTTTTGGTTTTGGTTTTTCGAGACAGGGTTTCTCTGTGTAGCTTTGCGCCTTTCCTGGAACTCACTTGGTAAACTTCTTTATTCTACCTACTTGTTGTTGGTTATTTTAACTCTTTGGCTCTTTGAGGGGCCTCGCCACTCAGCTCCTGAATAAATCACACATGGAGGCTTACTCTGCTCTGAGATAGTTTTCCCTCCTCTTTAAGGTTTTTGACTTTGAATGTTAATAATAAGTTATAGTATATCTCTCCTTCTAGTAAATTCTTATTCTCTAGTTTAGCCTAAACTATTTAGTAGTATAACAAACCCCTCTCTAATTTTTTAAAGATTTATTATATTTTAAAATTATGCATATATATGTATATCTATCTGCCTGTGGGTGAATGTAAGTGCCTGTGGAGGCTGGAAGGGGATGTCAGGACCTTGATCTGGAGTTGCACTCTGTTATGAGCTTCTAGATACTTGATATGGGTGCTGGAACTGAATTCAGATCCTCTGCAAGAGCAGTACACACTCATAACCACGAATCTATCTCTCCACCAACCCGCCCCCCCATTTCCACATACCCAAAATAATCAAAAACTTATCTAATGTTTAGGTGTAGTATTCCATTTTCCAGTACAAACTTGCTATCCTCACATTCCTTCTAGTGCCACAACTCAAATAAATCTTTATCCATTAGGGCCTTCATTGTACTAACCCATCACACTTTTCATTTTCATTGTTTTACTTGGCATGGCTCCTCTTGTTCCTTACTTTTCTAGATTTTTTTCCTAATACTCATTGCCTTGACCCTTCTGTCTCAACCATATGAACTTCCTTGCTCCTGCTTGACTGTGCCCAGCCTCCTCTTGTCCCTTCCTGAAAACTTCTATAGTCACTTAAGTGTCTTGCTCCCTTTCCTCTTTTTCTGCAAGTCTTTACTCAAGCATCACCAACTGAGACCTCTGCTGATCACCTTACTAAAGTTAGTCTTCCAGTTCTTCTCTAGTTCTTCCACTACCACCATCACTACCACCTCCATCTCCACCACCACCACCACCACCACCACCACCACCACCACCACCACCACCACCTCCTCCATCACCATCACCACCTCCATCAGCATCACCACCTCCACTACCACCACCACCTCCACCATCACCTCCACCACCACCTCCACCATCCCACTTTCTTTAGATTTTCCTATTTAATCCCAGCCTTCTGGATGCTGAGGCAGGAGGATCATGAGATCATCTTCTTATCTTAACAATACCCAGTCTATTTGCCTGTAGAGGGCATGAGGTCCTAGTCCTCACAGATAAGCACCAGGGAAACCAGGGATGTTAAACATGCAGGGTTGTCTCTTCAGGGGAAGAGATCTATAACCTATTTTCTGCCTAGAAGGCTGGGAATGGATGTAGTTAATAGCCCAGTGACCTGTGCTGTCTGTGTGGCCAGACCATACATGACTCCCCCAGACTTTTATGTTTATCCCAGACCGTTCCTCCCTACACATTTATCCTGTGCATTATTTCTCAGTCAATAGAACCCATCCTTATGGGAGATGTCACATGTACTTTCCAAATGGAGCAGAAGTGGTTAATAGCCTAGGTAACCTCTCTGATATCTGGAGGGCCAGACCACATCTGACTCCCTCAGGCTTTATGTTTACCTCAGTCATTCTCCCAATTTAGACCTTATCTTTAGCATTGTTTCTCAGTCAACTAAACTCGTCTTTATGGAAGAGGTCATATGTACTTTGTAAAGACTTTCAATGTCATCATGTCTTAAACTTTGTTGTACACACAACAAAGGATTGAGCTAATTTTCATAAGGAAACTTTCCTCTAAAATTGTGCTGTGCTTAAATATGCCTAAAATAAACTGCCCAGTGTCAAACTCTAGAAGTTTGAACCAAGACTGGCAACTGAGTCATGTTGAATCAGATTTCCTTCTTGCCTCACATGTATCATTAACTTGCCAGCCAGGTGTTTTCAGAGCCCTCCACATTTGCCTACTGTGCCTTTGACACCAATAACTCTCTGAAAGTCTCTCTAGTATTTTCTACATTATAACACCGTATACAACCTTCTACCACCAGATGAAATGTCAAAACACCCATGCAGCTCTCCCATACCTTCCCATTGCCTTCAGTGTCCCTGTACTGAGGGCTTGTTTTCACAAGTTAAGGTAAAAGTGAAAAGAATCTATTACTATGATAACAAATTGATAGACATGTTCCCTAATATTGTATGTACAAACTTTTGATCCATCCATCTAGTGTTCCAGGCTGTCTGGACTTTCTAAAACTGCTCAGTCTCCTGGCAGGACAGTGTGGACTACATAATAAAAGCC